GAGTGCGACGGAGGCGGTTAAACACACAGACTTTTCTAATGATTCCCGCCACGGAAATTTGCATTCAATTTTATTTGCAAGCCAGTACGAGGAGCATGAAAATTATGTGCATAAATTTCGGCAATATCACGTTTCTTAACCCTAACACGCAGTCCCCGGGAAAACGGCACACCGGGGATTTGACACTGTCTCACTTTATGGGACTTTTCTTATGACATTGCATGATTTTCCCACCCAGCAGGGCGCCCATTGCGCAAGGTGAAAAGTCACGAGATGAGGCAAGCAAATTCAATGTGTCAGAGTTCATGTGGAAATTCCAAAAGTCGATGGGAATTAAAAGTCAATTGCACTCTTGACTTCTTTTTCCATTGCGAAAACAGTTCGAAAATTTCATATTCTCATTGAGCACTTGACAATATTTCTCATCAGTTTCATACTTTCTACGTGCGAGCAAAAAATTGAAAGGACTTTTTATAGCACAGAGAAAAAGTTTCAGTTCATAAAGTTTAATATAAACAATAATATAATACGGGGATTATTTTCTCATAAAGCGTTATTTAACTCAAAGTCAATTGAAAGTTTAGTAAGCTTAATCTCTTTTCTAAAACCAGATTTAGATCTCAGTGAGTTATGAAACACTTCAGCAACGCCTAAAACTTCTTAATACACATATTATGGGCCTGAATTGATCGAGCGCGAAACACAACTTCACTTCCAAATAAATTTATTGCAATGCATAAAAGTTCATTCAACAGAGAAATCATTTTAGGTATCATAGTTTTTTCTGCCTGCTGAAATTTTGGCATAACATATCTCTTCCATTATTGAAAAAACAGAACAGAGTGAAGATGATAGCTTTTTTTCTCTTATTTTGACTCATTGAAATTTATGGTCTATCGATTCTCTCCACTTCTCATCATGGGTAAAGTGTACGAGTAATGTTTTCCAGCTTAATTCATGTGAATTTTATTGATGTTCGCTGGAGCATTTTGCCATGATATATTGTGACGCAAAAGGAAGAAGTGAAGAGAGTGTAGAGGCATTACTCCACTTAGAATTACCTCAAAATGTGCAATGCAATCTCCACTTTTATGTCAAGTGCTTGAAATTCAACTCACATGGAATTCCGCCGGCGGGAATAGCAATTCTCAGGGAGTTGAATGAAATGTGAATACTTTGAAAGAAATATCATGACAACACGCACGATCGTGGAGCAATAAAAACCGTGACAATAGCATCAGGATACAAACATCCTGGGGAGGGTAGGAATGCGAGAAGACAATTTCTCAGAGTCGTCAAATCATCCTAATCCACATCATTTTCGATACCGCAGAACTCCAACCTCCCACCCACGCAGGCCTCGGGGGGCCACGGGGAGGCCACGGGGTGGGCGGCAAAAGAAATATTGTGGCTCGAGACAGAAAAGAATCTCTCGCGAAATCAGAGCTTCTCTCCGCGTCATTTCTCCGACTGTGTGTGCTATTTCCACCAGATCAATTCCCGGAAAATCTTTCCAGCTAAAGCGTCACCATGCCAATTTCTGGGGGTGGGCTGACTGGCTGGCAGAGGGGGCGGCCCTTTGGGGGAAATGAAAAGCACACATGAGGGGTAATGCTGTTCTGCACTCGTTCGTGTGTAATTCATTTACATTTTCTCTCCATCCATCTATTTTACTAAATGGATGGGATGTTTCCCTATCTTTTCCCATTTCACTGAGGATCATCTTCCCAAATGTACAGACAATTTAAGAATTTACGGGAAAAAAACACAAGGGCGAAAGGAGAAAGAGTGCTGAAAAGTCGGAAAATGAAAATCACCAAATTGAATAATAAGGAAATAGCGAAGATCAGAAGAGAAATTCTTTTGAATCGCTTTTTCTGCCTCTCACACTCTTTTGAATACATAGAATCATCCCTTTTATCTAACATATTTTTTCCATGAAAATTTCCACAGAGACTCTTTCGGGGGTTATTCATCCAGCAAATTCGGGTTTATTGCTTATTCCACGAACATTCATGTTTAGTGGAATGTGTGCATATTTACTGTTTGGATGGATATTTTAAAAATCACATTTTTTTCCATACAAATAAAATCCATATTTTTCCCAACTTTCGTACCCCCTTTGGATTTCTAACTTTGTTTTTTATTCTTCACACCATCCACTCCATTCCTATATTGAACATCGATGAAGGGATAAATTTTCTATACCGAGAATATTTGCAGTGAGGAGATTTTTCATCCCTACAAAAAGTGGGATTGACGTATAGATTTACAGAGGAAATCTGCCCCAATCGAATTCTTACTCATATCTCGTGAAACTTTAATAAATATAATGGAAAATTCATGAGATTCCTGGCGAATGTGTAGAGAGAAAAGAAGAGCGAATTTTTGTGTGAAGTCATCTAATGAAAATTGCACCTTCACGAGGCACAAAGTGTAATCGTGATGAACTTTACCACATCCTTTACACATCTTGACCACCAACGTGGAGAAAACTAGTAGTGTAGTATGTGTATGGCTAAAGGCATTTACCTGAGTCAGAAATGGGGAGTAAAATAGCTGATTTCCCCCACAATTTCTGTCAGCAAAAAATCTCCATTTTATTAGATATTCTCTCTTCTTCAATGGGGGAAGTTTCCCTTTTCGTGGGTGACAGTGTATTTATGCTGAGAAAAAGAGGCAGAATGTGAAGCATTTCGATAGATTTTCCTTCTTTTCAGGTTCACAGAAGTTCAATATGGGATGAAAGCAAAGAAAATTTTTGCATATATGGTTCCCTCCTGAGAGAGAAATTGATTTTTCACATCTCACCAGGAGTTTGCTGGTCTTCAGTCTCCCATGAATTCCAATCAGGAAAATATTGATGGGAAATTATCGAAATGGGCACAAATTCAAAGACATTTTTCCACACGATTGACTGTCAAGCATACATACAAAATTTATGGGGAATATTTTCTTTTCATTCTCAAAACATACCCCGAAATACATTGAAGCTTTTGTATTGCCTTATTTTTCAGTACGCTTTATTTTCATTCAAAGCAGACATTTTTTCCTCTTGAAAATATTTTTATCGGTCAAAATGGGGCTTATCATTTCATAGTTGTGTTAGTTAATCTGCAAACATTTTCGCGTACAAAATAATGCTCTTGTTTTTCACAATTTTGTGACTTTCCTATTACTCATGCCAGAAGAATTTTCAATTATTCACTGTACCAAGAAATGTTTTTACAATTTCGGCATAATGTAAAAGCGAAATGGAAAACAAGACCCTGGGCAATGTTATGTTTGGGGTAGATTTCCTAATTAGATGTTAACTGGAGACTATATAACGCAATCATTTAACCATGTTGCTACTATTTTTATGACAAAAAAGAATCGAGCAATTCGCTTTAATGCTGTAAGGATGTAATTATGGGTCTATTAAAAGAATTTCCGTGATATCGGATAAATACATATAATGTATCTAATGGGTTCTTCGTTATTCTGATTGCACAGTAAAAAAAGACGTCCGTGATAGTTTCCTGAGTATGTCATTTCAGATAAATTAGCACCTTCTGTTACATTAATAGAAGCGCACAAGCTTAATCCTTTCCTCCTTACTGACCTATAGAAGAGTTTCAAGACTACTTTGTACATTTTCACTGGATAATTTGTGTTATTCTGATCATTCTAGAACACCCACAATTGACACCGCACTAACAAAATTTCAATTTGATTCTATATGTGTGTTCAACAGCGTCCAATCGAGGAGTTGTGATGTAAATTCTAATTGAAAATTTCGCACCAGTGCGGTTCAATGCGTTACCGCCCGAACGGCTAAAACAATTTTACATGGAAGGGATGGCAATCTAGAAGAGTTATTGGGCCAAATTCCACGTGTTAAGCGGTCTCTGGCCGGAAATTTGCTTTAATGTCCGTAAATGTGGGGCATATATAAGTGAATATATTCAATTTGGGGCTGTGAAAAAGAGTGTTTATCTGAAAAATTAAGAGGGATACTAGCTGTCTTGCGAGGGTCGGGAAAAAGTGCTTGTGAGCCCGGAGCGGAGGGAAATTGCGGGTGAATCGCAAAATTATGTAGTGTGCTGAGAGCATTAATTCTCATCTCACTTGGAGTATTGCAACCCCTTCGCCGCCCAAAGTATTCTCATTTTCACCCACCCAGAGCGCTGTGGGTCCGCCAGTAAATTGCCTGGGCGGTGGATTCTTGTGACAGACTTGTCCGCAGCCATGTCGATTAGCCGGGGAAGAAGGGCCCCACACGAGTGATAACGATCCCCTGGACAGAACACTCACAGGATACGGGTAGGCTTTTTATCGGCAACACCCCATCATCATCTAATATAATTTGAGTGCGCCACTTTGTATATTTCTCTAGTTCTGCCTTCACTTCTACTCTTTCTGTCTCTTTATTGTAACGGTGCGAGTACGTAAGTTATCAGGAAAAGGCCGTCTCACAAATCGCCCGCGCTGTCATCACCCTCGCAAACCCTCTAACCTTTTGCGAATCAGGAGGGAGAACCCAAGAGGTCACCCATTCAACGTTCGCGCTAAGGCGACCTCCAGATGAGGAAACTACCGGCAAAGTTGGGGATTTAAATCGAGTGTAATTGAGTATTAAGTTCCCTGATCAATAAATAAAATTAATTTTTCATATTCTTTCTTCCCAAAGTTACTATTACTGAAGGAGTTGAAGGTGTAGTTATTTCTGTATATTCTTGGTAAAATGTGATACATTTCGACTTCATTGTGAAGAATTTGAGCCAGGGATTTAGGCAATATGATGCTATCTTGGCGTATTCATTTACGCCGATGAATCAGATGGTAATTAATTTAAATTATTTTCCCTCCCATGCTTACAGTGGAATATTCTTGGCGCTCTGTATCAACTGAGGGTTCTTTTACCAGGTGCATGAAAAGCCGCCCTGGCCTCTTATCGCAACCTCTCTCCTCCTCTCCACGAGACAAGGGGGATGATTTGTGAGGGATGTTGCACACACCTTAAAGACACACTCGAGGGTTTGTCACTCGATTGCGGAGGACATCTGAAGCAGCCGTCAGGATTTCACGCCTCGCCTCCTCCGGACAGTCTAGTGGGCGGACGCTGCACTGTCGCACATTTTATGGGATGATCACACAACAAGATTTAACACCTCTCCGTCGAGCACTGTGGCACACAATAGCACGATTTCAGACCTTTTCCACACACCGCGAGGGGTGTGTAACTCACTGTTCCACCTGTCCTCTTTGGCCGTGCTTCACCCCCGCTGTTAAATATTCACACACTCAGCACAAGTGGCAATTTGCATCCAGTGGGCAGATTTCACGTCTCACGTGAAACTGTGTCCGCACATTAATCCAGAATGTGGACTGAAGCGCCCCAAAAAAGGTAACCCAACACACCCGGATCCGCGCGAGAGCGGAGCTTGATGTCGGTTGTGTAATGCTTCTGTGACTGACCGAGAGGTTTTCTCGCCAAAAAAGCCCACCCTTTTGCCACTGCCGCACACACACAGCCGAATCGAACTATCCCAGGCCCTAATCGTCTATGCACGAACCGGCGACGAGTGAAAAAACGACGAGCGCCGAGACATGCGCCCAGGATCTCGGCTGAAGGAGTCACCGGAGCTTTCTCGCTTTCCCCAAGTACATCATTTTGCACAGAGAGAGAGCCATACCCCCACCCGGGGCGACCCCAGCCCCCCACCCGGCCTGTGGATGTGTGCGATATCGGCAAATACCACTCCATGGTGCTCTATGTCAGCGACAGGACTTGTGCACTGCCGCCCAATGAGCCACATCTCGGGGCGCTTTGGCCAAAGTTGTGATGTAAATTTGATTTAATGCTTCGCAGAGTATTAATGAGAGATTCCATGGATTATCTCAATCATTGCTCGCCTGGCCCTTCGCTGTATTGATACTTCCCGCTCGGGGGTGGGCGTCGGGAGTTTTCTGGAAATTTTCACGTCATGAATTTCACCACTTTTAGCAGACATTCTCAACTCTGGCAGGTTGGATCTCGCACTGGTGAAGGAAAAGTTTGCCAAGATTTCCACATACTTAGGCAAGCAGACGTGATATCTCAATGGTGAAGTTTAATATGCAAGTGATATGCTTTTCATATAATATCAATATAGGATTACGGAATGTAATAATTTCTTGGCGAGTTCTTTGGTTTTTATACATAGTTACACACACTTCTTATGCGTGGCGAACAGTTTTTCCCCTCGTAAATCTTGCTAAAGGTCTGTTTTGTGCTCACTTGGACTCAATCGAAAAATTTCAGATTAATTGCTGGCTGCTGATTAGAGACTCACGCTGCTTGTAGTCAATTTTCCTACAAGGAAATTACACCGAGTCATGGCACAGTCACAGGTACTGGCTCATTGAAATCTCAAATTGTCTCCATCGTCAGCGTATCTATTGAAAATCAACAGTCATTTCTGGGCTGTAGCCGAAAAATAGGCATTCTGTCGGGAAATGTGGCGAGTCATCGTCATGATTAGAAATATCGTGAGCAACATAGGGCACGCTTGAATGGGATGCTCGGTGTATGCCTTCAGCCATTTACATATTATACACATTGACACAATTTTTAGAGCAAAATTCTCTTTTGTAACCACTCTTCCCCAAGCGCTCGGCTCACATCCACACAGCAATTGTACTGGAAGAGGATCCCAAAAGCGATGTATACGGAAAGCCACCCTCATGTGCCTCTTTTCACCACTTTTTATTGCGACACTCTCAAACTTCCCATTCGTTTGTTTTAACTTTTTTTCAGGGTTGAAGCTCTCAAATAGGCGAAACGGTCTGAAATGTTTGTTTCTCGGAAGTTTGAGTGAAATCACTTCATTAAATTTCGTTTTATCTTCCTCACATGGAGGAATTAGTGTGAGGCGTTTTTGATGGCGTAGAGGAAAAAGGGATTCCCTCGGCAGGGAGAGAGGCGAAATTATGGAAAAAGATGAGGGAAAAATTATGAGGGAATTCGATACTTTATACACAACCCAGTCATTTTTGTAGTATTTCCTCGGCTGTTGTGTGTGCCAAGATAAAGGGTGAGTTATGTTTGAAATATTAATGTTACTTTATGTGGAAATCAACTTATTAAAATTTTAATTAAATTAATTCACTTGTATGGTATCTCATAGCGAGAGGAAATGTATGTTTCAATTTAATTATTTAATAATAGTCCCACGTCCCTTCACTCCTAAACACCACCACACTTGCGCCACTCACTATACACCCTCGTGCACAGAAAAATGAACACTGTCTCAGCTACAGTGCAAGTCATAAATATTGCAGCACATGAGAATTTCTCACCCTAATTGGAACTTTAAAGTTTCATCAAATGGCGAAATTCCATTACAAGTTTTCCCTGGATAATTTTCCGAAAATCTCACTGCGTATTAGAAGCAGACCCATAATAATTTTCAATGAGTTTTCCCTCCGCAAGACACTTTCCAACCCCGTGAATTGGTGGATTGCCGAAGCAAGAAAGTTTCTTGAGACCGAGACACTGGCTGTAATCTATGATTTTCCCACCACAATATTTCGGTGTGATCCTTGTCCTTCGTCGCATGCAAAATTGGGCCATTTATCTAAATGAGAACCCATATTAGACCTATACACCCCAAACAGTTAGTACCCGCTCCGTGTAATCTCCGTCATGCTTCAACTGAAGGCAAATTAAGGGTGTTCACAATTTGTCTCTGTTGGATTTTTTGCTCCTAAATCTCAGGTTCTTGCCCGAAGGTGTATTTACCATCGAACAAACATTGGAAACGGCCAGGATACATTTCACTTAAGATACACGTGTCAATAGAACGCCACAGGGAACAAGAATGAAATAAGAACAGAAATGTCCACAATTGAATACCTATAAAATCTCAAAAATTGTTCAGTTTTATGTGATTTCTGAGAAGAATCCTTGTTAAACAAATAATGCAAATAATGCGAATATGTAAGAAAATTTACTCGCTATAACATTCCAAGAATGTTAAAATTAAAAAATAACAACAACAAAATGGTAAATATTTTTTCCTGAATAAATTCAAGGAAATATATAATTACATGTTATTCATAAATCCAAAAGCTGATATCCAATATTACCAATAGAGGCATTGAAAAATCGTGCTTTGTATCCTTGAAGTGCTTGCATAAAAGATAAAAAAAACCCTCCTGGCTTATTAATTTTAATATTCACACATGATTCGAGGACAAGCAGAGTTGTGCAGGTAACTGAGTGTGATATTTCATTCGACACTTTTTACTTTCAATGCATAATAACACTCATCAATTGATACGCTATTATTGGATAAATTCTGTTTAATACTCACCCATTAATTCTTGATATATTGTGTATTTATCCGGGATTTATACTTTCGCGCTTCGTTCCATTCATCAAAATTGGAATGAGGACAGGTTTTAGTGGTATTTCTACAATTGGGTGAACTTCAATGGGAGTCACAGAAATTAATTACGTTCTCACCCTGTCTCGCCTCTCAAATGCATAATGGAAACAATAATAATTGCAAGAGCGAGTGGCGCTTTCCCTCTGTGCGAAGCTAAATAGGGAAGAAATTGATGAATAAATTCACGATAATTAAATAGACTGGATGTCTAATGAAGCTGCAATTTATTTCACTTTCAATTATTGTCTGCTGCCAGTGGCACAAAGGACCCGTGGAGGAGGTGCTGTGATTGCGTAATTTTTTCCACCCACTGTGCTGGTCTTCGTGAATTTGCTCAGTTTCTTGCAGACACTTTCGCCCCATGTCAATAAATATATCGAGAGCCGTTGCGGAGAGATATTGTACGTTATATGTGGAAGTGAGAGCCTGGTCTTGTGCTGTTATATTTATATATTAAATCAATAATCATATTTTATGAGTTTATTTTGCTCTGATATAGATAATAGGACAAATACATAGGCGTCTCATCCTCCCTCCGTTCCGGGACGCAATGAGGGCGGGTGGAAAAAAAAGTCATGGAAAGATATTCACAGCATATTCTGGCACTCACCAACAATTTCTTATTACAATACAATCTCCGATGAATTCTTGGCCATTGAGCCGTGTCCGTCAAGGGGTGGCACGAGGGTGGAACTCAATTGAAATATTCATGATGAAGTGCCTGAAATACATGAAGCCAAGTTTTTTCCTTCATTAGAGAGATTAATTTTATTACATATTGGATTCCGTCTCCTCTCTCGGGGCTCATTTTTATACAAAAACGATGGTGATAAATATTTAATGGGAAAATTCACCTGGTCCGGCGTTAATCTTTTTCTCGGATTATACGTAACTAAATTATCCACAAGACTGATTTCCTGTGGAGTTGTGCAGCTGGGAAAGATCGATTCCCACTGTTCGCCCTTCGAGTGGGGAAAGCTAGGGAAGATGAGAGAAGCATAAACAAGCATGAGAATATTCGAAAATTTACATAATGTGGAGGATGTTCTTTTTATCTGAGTGTATATGTAATAAAATAAAATCCTCTGGGTGTCCTTTTGCCGTCCCACACTCATTTTCCCGGAGCTCACGCTCAAACAACACAACATATTTTCGCTTGAATTAACTAAAAAATTGTTCATCTCATGGCTGCGAGCAGAGCTTTGAGCTTTCAGAGTTTTCATGGAGTTTCGCCGCCATGCAGGGACTTTTCCAACTGCCCCTGTCCACTGAATGGGGCACAATTGTGTAATTAAACATCATACTGTTTACTATGCCATCATCTGTGCACCTTCAATGGAGATCAATAAAAATATCTTTCCATCTCTTCAAAATAAGTAAATATTAATTTTAAAATGCTCTTCCTCAGCTGAAATTTCTTGCCCACTTTATTACAGAGTGCAAAACACATTCTCATTACCAAAAATGAAAATTCAATTTTCCTTCTTTTTTGTGCCAACAAATTCCACCTCTCAAAATGGGTGGAGAAAAAAAATATGATTCGCTCTCTCGGAAGCTTTTTCCCCACCGAAGTTCAGCCGTTCTGTGCCTGCGGGCACTTCGCAATTTTCTCTTTCTCTCTCTCTCTCTCTTGCTTTTCATATAATTTTAATTCATGCTTATTTTGCATTTCACTGAGCGAATTATTTCAATCCCTGCGGAAAAGTCTCAAAGTGACACCGAGAAATCATCAGTGACAATTATTTTTGGCGCCAATTAGGGAAATTTTCGCAATATTTTCATCACTGAATGGCCTTTTCACGACCTTCTCCTTGTCTGCGCCCCCACAGCGAATGATGTTTTCAATGCTGCCATCGAAAAACTTTCTAAGCTCGCCCACTGTGAAAGTTTGCCCGTTCACAGGTAATTGTGAAAGGATGTGCTTGTGGCCTATTTTCAATTAATTAAGCTCCAACAACTTGAGCTGTTGTTGCGGACACGAAGCTTGTACAACCCTTCTTGGTATCACACAGAGAGAGAGATAAATCCTCTTGGCATGTTTACGTGTTGCAGCAGTTTCTTTTTGGCACATTGCGCTTTTCTCCACAGCATCAATGTTTCAATAGCATGAAATGTTGCAATTATTTACAATTACGGAATTCAGAATAAAAGCGACATCATTGTTATCATATAGAGCCGTAGGAAAGAAAAAGTCTGTTTGCGTCGCTTCATTGCATTCAGAAAAATTAATAATAAATATTTTATGATGTAGAACAATGAAAAACATATGCTTTCCAAGATATCCCATTTAATAGGAAATTCAATATGGAAGCACTCATGAAAGAGAATAATTATCTACACGAGAATTTTATTGGAGTGCGACATCAAAGAGAATCAATGAACAAGTGGAATTGCAGGATTTGAGTGTACATTCACTTATTAATTTATTGCTCCTCCAGTTTCTCAATTTCAGTATACATAAAAGTTTCTAATTTAATGAAATCCACAGTACAAAGACATCTTTTCTCCTTGAAATCAATGTGTTTTTTTTTTTAGATTCCTGTCCTGGAACACTTCAAAAATCAATTAAATTAACACAGAAAAACTACATTGCAAAAATAAAATGTTGCAGAATTTTAATTAATATTTGACTTCAAACGAATCTCAGCTCTGCACATCACATACGATATTTACTCCACATATTGAATCTATCTCAATTTTGTGCCATGCATCTTCAAAGCCTCAAATTGAAAAATTGAATTGCAAATACTCCTGGTTGTCATCAGAATTTTCATCATATTCTCTCTCTCTCTATGAATTTTGAGTAGAAAATCAATTTCCACGCATGAGAAGTATCTCGAAAAGCCTCGATCAAACGATGGTGTCGTGTGTGTGTTTCGTGTGCGGTTATGACAATTTGCCCATGCATGACAAATGTGCAACAAAATAAATATGGTCAGTATTCATGACGGAAAATTTCGCACCTGATTTTGTTGAAGTCTGGCAACTGATGAATTTCTGGCCATTCAGCTGAGTGCGGCGTCCCCAGAGTTCTCACCACAAGTGCCAATTGTTCAATGTCAGTGTTGCCCTGTCGTCGAATAATTAATAAACGTGAATGGATGGTACACGATGGGGGCAACATAAGCGTTTTCGTGTGACATGCGAATAAATTGGCACGGAGATTGCCTCACCGGGAACAGCGCAACTCCTCGCAGCATCTCAGCGAAGACACAGCCCACGGCCCACATGTCCACGGGCGGCCCATACCGCTGGCTTCCCCACAGCAGCTCCGGGGCGCGATACCATCGGCTGGCCACTTGTGGCGAGAAGCACACGTCAGACTCCTCCTCGGCGCTCTTCAGGGCCGTGAAGAGGCGCGCCAGGCCGAAGTCGGCAATCTTCAGCCATCCACAGTCATCTATCAGCAGATTAGCCGGCTTGATGTCCTGCGACAAATGGAACACACTCCATTAGCACGGCCAAACACCCCCGGAAACATCCCCTGGGGCCAAATGTTAAAGTGACCCCGTGGGGAGCATTGGCAGCAGACGCAAAATGTCCCGCAATTCGTCAATTTCTGCAATGCCATTCACATCACTTCCGCTCACTCACGCCGGAACTTCCACACCCTCAGAATTTGTCCGTCTTTCAGCTTCAAAAGTGAATAGAATAAAGAGTACTTCCTCTACCTATATGTATATCGCTATTAATAGCTCAATGTAAGTTCAATTCAACCTGAAACTTTATATTATGATGATAAATATGGCGGAAGAGCAAAACTTTCTGCAATTTGGGAACATAAATACTGAAGAAATTCAACGGTCTGCTATTAATATTTCCTTTTTTTTATCTTTGAGATAAGGTTTCATAATATTTCTTTTCATTGTCACAAACCTATTTTAGCATTATTTCTGCCTGACTGACTCCAAGCGTCCATTTTCCTAACCCATTGATATGGAATTTCATAAGTGGAAAGGCAAACGGATTTATGTGCAACATTACCACCAATATCAACCCTTTTCCTTCATGCTCTGTCAGCAGCGAGTTTTATGCAGACTTTATGAGATATATAGCACAGAAGCTCTTCCAAATATTCACTCTCACATTCTTGACAAACTTTTGCGAAATTAATTTTGCCCATCACAAACAGAAGTAATTTTCTTTCTCTCTGCGTGAAAGTAGTTGCAAAATTTCACAATAATCATACTAATGCAGAGTTATAGTGTCAAGAGACATCATGGAATATTATGATTCATTTATGATAAGAGGCTAGCATAGACTGTCAAAAGGTTAGCAAATTATTGCATTTATGCATATATAAATAAAGTATCGAAACATCATATTGACAATTAATTTGAGTTGAGCATCAACTAAATCAATTAGTTTTGATGGATATTGTCAAATATCTTGTCAAATATTGACAATATATTTCTGCATGAAATGATATCAATAGCATCTATTTAACGTTAAATGCAACTGCAAACTAATTACCAAACTCAAATTGCTTTCTAATTACATCCTCTGCACTCTTTCTCCTTGATAAATAAAATATGGAAAAAAGTGCAGAATATGGACAGTGAATTATGAAGAGATTCAGCTTGCTCGGAAAGTTTATTCTCTGCTAGGAAAAATTCAATAAGGAAATAATAAACAAGTTGCTGAAGAGCTTGTTGATGTAAATTGAATAAATAACTGTTGAAAAGTAGTGCTGCATTTTAATTGAATTTGCTAATTAGTTCTGTTTTTAATGTATCAAAGGGGAATCTCAGTATAGTGCAGCTTAAGCAATTATATAGTTGAAAGGGCGGTGAAAAAAACATGCAGAAGGCATTTTATGAAGTTGATTCTGGCATAACATCTCTTCCTCTGCTAATAATTCCGTCTCAAGGAAGCGTATATTGTGACAATGTATCAGATATGCGACAGCAGAGTTAATTAATTGTCACTCACTCTATGCATAATTCCTTTCTCGTGCAGATAGGCGAGTCCTTTGAGGAGCATCCGGGTGCATGACTTCACTTCCTGTCGACTCAGGGGATTGCCTTCGTCCTTGAGCCTAGACTGCAGCGTGTGCGGCATGAAATCGAACACGAGCGCCAACCCGTTGAGGTCGGGGTAGATGGTGAGCAGGCTGAGGATCTAACCGGGGCGGCCGCAAGGTGGAGAAGTCATGTGGTTAGCAAAGACGACTTTAAAATGGTCATTGGACTCACGTTTTCATGGTCACAGTGCTGAAGGACTTTAATTTCCCGCAATGTGTGCGTCGCAATGCCGCCGTGCTTGGTGCGGAGGGAAACCTTCTTAATTGCCACCAACTTGTTGGCACCTGGTGAGGACAAGTCGATCGCTTTCATCACCACCCCGTGGACACCTTCGCCAATCTTGCACAGCACTTTAAAGCGACTCGGCGCGTAATCATCCATGCTGAAGGTTATTAATTCAATTAATTAGGAACCACCTTTTCACTCTCTCAGCGTCGCTGGACTAATTCACGGGGCGCGGAAGAGAGGCGCACGATGTTCTGATACTTTGGGGCGCAAATGACGTCCTCCCCGACTACCTCTTGTTTGTGTTATTACGCCAAGTTTCCATGGCGATTGTTGTTTCGAGGGAGCGCCTCGAAAATACACACTCACGCGCCCCCGAGCAGTCATTTCGCAAAAGGGCATGTTCTCCCTTGCAGGCCTTCTTGCTGTTCATCATTGGACTTTATGCTACTAAGTTACCTGTGAATAGTTTCTCTTTTCCGCAGGTTCTGCAGTACCTAATTAGATAAGTTTCTTATGAAAGAAATGTATTTCCATGAGAAAATCTCTTGAGAACTCAACAAAATCTCTTTATCATAATATATGTATATTCTTAGCTCAGAGCATGGAGTATTAAGACATAATATTAAGTCTAAGCTCAAATCTTATCCCGAAGTCATGTTGCATGTTTAACGTCTTCTTCTGAGATGCAAAATGTTAAGCAAAGAAAAACATTCCTTCGCTATTTTATGCTAATTTCATCCGGGATGTGAGAACAAACAGGAAAGTATGAAATATATGGAGAAACATTGTCGGGAATGCATCTGCTGTTCTGATGTGAAAATCAAAAGCTTTTCCTCCTTCAACTTTGCTTCAACATCAAGAGTCTGGATATAAATTTTCTGTCTGTTGTGATGCTCATATTATTTTGCAGTGGCGTGAATTTTACTGCAAAGACACAGACATTCAATACAGAAGGAATCCAAATGCTGCAACAAATTCGAAAGATGGATTCAAAATGAATTCTTGAATTTCTGTATCCAACATCTCAGCCCGGATGCTCGTCATGGCACATTAGAATCATCTGTATCACCGCTGAACTCAAACAGGGATCAAACAGTACATTTCTGCTTGACTGACGATACACTATAAGGTTCTGTGGCTCTTACGTGAATTTTCGAATGAGCACAGAAGATAAATTGGCCAGAGCGACGAGAGACCACATCAAAGGCGAAATGCAAACACCGTTTGTAGCTGATTGCCGAGGCTAGTGTTGAGAAACTATCGGAAAAGTCTCTGAGGTATTCACCTGTGCAAAATAGTGTGACTCAAAGCGGAAGATGAAAGCTTTTTTGGATCATATTGATTGGAAATGTTCGTCACATTACACATAAACCAGCTCACAAAATGGGCTGAACTCTGACACCATTGTTAATACTTGCATAGCAGGATTAAAGAGCTTCCATCCGCAGCTTTTCCCTAAGCTCGTGATTTAATATTTAATTGAAATTAATTTTGAACATATTTGTCAGTCTTCTATAGTCACGATTTCATCGCAATTACGCCAACATATGCTCTAACTTGCCTTCAGATCTCTTCTCTCGCTTAATTAATTTAATTTCTGATTGGGACTTTATTACATTTTTCACACTTCCTTCCGAGACCCTCTGCCTAATCTCGAATCTCTTTCTCTCTCTCACACTCTCCAAATTAATCCCCTGCCTTTTCAGTTTGGCTCCAAAAACTACATTGTGTTCTCGGGGGAAAACCTCCCCGAGTAATTTTGGTTTTCAAACACACCGCAGATACACTCTACGCCCCCCGACCCTGTCGATGAAGTGGGTGAGCAGTGCCTTTTTATCGGCGATTACTTCAGTGAAAATGTGTCGTAAAAGAGTCATTCGGGGATTGATTTTTATTCCATTGATCTCGTGCTCTTCCCCAAATGTTCCACTTGCAGATCGAGTTAATGAATGAACATTAAATTTTCTATTTGCCAGAAGCATCGAGTTCACCTCTGACCAGAAACCATCCCGACTTCATCGCCGGCAATAAATCTTATCGGTGGTTCCTTTCTCACTACTGTCGTCGCTGCCAGAGCCCTTTTTTTCCCTACAAATGCCTTAACTCAATGTCATGAAAGCACAAAAACACTGAGTGGAATTATTTATTGACTTTACGGCTAATTTGGAAAAACCGCTGACAACTGCGAAACAGTTTGTCTAAATAAAATATCGGTCCTCATCAGTAATATAGTAACTGAATTATGAAATACGTAATTAATCCTGACACCTCGGATGCTCCTGTCTGCGTCGCTTCAAGTGTATACCATGCATATTTCAGAGCTACCACTTAAGCTGCTATATTGCTTCTTCTGACTACGAAACTCAATCGATCTGTAAAGTATTTCACTCAGTATTTGAGACCTAATCCCCATTGTTTCTAATTGAAAACTAAAACCCAGGATATTGGCAAGGAATTCAATTGAACTTTGCCACTTGGAGCGTGACTTTTCTCTCAGTGCCGGGGTTTATGATAATTCCTTCGATTCGCTCAAGTGCTGACCTTTTGTGAGTCGCCCCGAAGCCGTCGCTGTCTCCGCACCATCCGGCAATGTGAGCTTCGGGGAGTAATCATGTAAATGTGTGATCCTTATTCACTTTTCCGCCCTCGGAGCGTCTCTATTAAACAAGAGCGAGATGGCGGATGGCGGAGACAACGAGGGGATTATTTGCATCGTGAATATTCGCATAAAATTCATAAAAGAGACCATTTAACCGAATCAGCTCTGTCAGGATATCGCAGCTTATCGCCTTTAAACAGACGTTTTTACAACCTCTCCATCATAAAACCGGCAGAGAAAAAGTGTACTTTGGCCAACTAAAAGCACCATCAGGATACACCATATATATGGTAATTTAGGCGAATGTGAGCAGAAAGGAAACTGTGACACGAAGTCTTCCTTGTTGTTGGACGACGAGCCCCAATTTCTCCCAAGTGTGCACTTTTTCCACCAAGCTCTTCGCCACCACCAACAATTAGGTAGATTCCGCTGAGATAATGGACAATTTAAGAGTTGGTCCCAAGAATCATTTTCCGCCTGTGCAAAAGTGGAGTTTTCAACTTCACTCACACTCTCGCTTTCCGCCCCGCTAAATGCCGAAGAGCGAAACCCTCGTTGGGAAAAATTATTCAATTTGAAAAATAATACTTTCTCAGGATATTAAATATCTCCAGACTTCTATTTAAGTCCTTATTTTAGAAACTTTCCATATAATTCTTCTCATTTTTCACCTCGCCTTAACCGCAAAAGAGCTTATTTCGTGAATGTGGAGAAAAAAAAGCGAATAACATTTAAGTCTCGCAAGAGCACACGAAAAGCTCTCTAGATAAACTCGCGCATGGAAGACTTTTATGCAAATGATATTCATTAAAATTTTTATAGTTACCACCAAAGTGCACATTGTATTATGGAATTGCATAAGCGATGGAATTTTAAATTTCATCGTATTTTGTAGATAAAATACCCACGAGAATACAATCAATTATAGCAAATATTTTCATAGTTCAGATCATCTCGTGGAGGAAAATTGAAAATTCATATTCCACTTCCTCCGTTTCCCCAGTCATAATTATTCTACTGATCACTGAAAGTTGCATTAGCAGCTGAGCAACTTTCACTTCAAATTCATAGTGGACATTTTTGTCCTCCATTCTCCCTGATTCTTCGACACAATTAACAAAAGCGTATTCAAAAATACGCATAATGGCCGAGGCGGAAAATTTGTGGGAACCGTCTGACTCATTATCGGGCCCGACTTCATTTGTCATGCATTTATTCCGGAGAGAAGAGCATCTCGTTGCATGGCAAAACGGTATTGTTATTAAAGAGGAATTCCGCCCAGTAAAAACAGCCACGATGGAAAACCGCGGGATTCCCACCGGTCGGTCCCTTGTTCCCCAGTGGATTTTTGAAGGAAACCCCCCTCGGGATTCCCTCAGATTTTTATACACAAATTTGTATGGAGCCTGTCCGCGGATATCCACTGGTTTTTCAATGGGGACTCCTGGAGGGAAGTCAATGGTTTTTCCACACCTCTTAAGCCCGTAAAAGAAACCTCTTAGGCCTCTTTTCAATGGTTTTTCAGTGGATTTTTTCGCGGGGATCCCGCAGGAGGCTCCATTGAAAATCCTTCAGGGTGAACAGGACCCAAAACGATGGATTTTCAGTGGACTTTCCTGCAGGAATCCCTCAGGAGGTGTCCATTGAAAATCCTTCAAGGATAAAAAGGACCCAAAACGATGGATTTTCAATGGACCCCTACTGAGGGATTCCTGCAGGAAAGTCCACTGAAAATCCATCATAAAGTGAACCTGTAGTTAGAATATGGCGCGCTTCGGACCAATTTTTCGAGGTGGCGCTGTGATTCACAAAATGTACATGGTGATGTCACACAGGGGAATTTCACAACATTATAAATGGGACTTGGAATTTCACCAAGACATTTTTAAGCACGCAAATAAGTCCTTTTACACGCTTATTATAATAAAGAACTTGGTGCAAGGATGCTTCCACGGTACAGGATGAATAAAAAGGGGGAAAAAGTAGTTTCCGCACCGGAAATACGCAGATTTTTGGAAAAGTTGTTGGAAAATATTTTTCACAACATTTTTTTCTATTGCCGAAATTTTCATTGCTTGTCAAGGATATCAATGTAAAATCATCGAAAAACTGTAAATATGCGTTCCCCAGAGCCTTATTCCCTCAATATTAAGGATAAAATGTGTGATTTTTTCCCACCCACTTTTGGCAGCTGCCATCTTGAAAGACAATCTCCGAAATATAGGCAGTTCAGTAATTGCGGAGTGCCCTGCGGGATTCCCGCGATGATCCCCAATGCAAAATCCCTCATCTCAAACAGTGGGCAAACAGTGGACTTGCCCTGCGGGATTCCCGCAAGAATCCCTAAGGCCAAATCCTTCATCCTTAAGGCTGGGCAAACAGTGGACTTGCCCATCAAAAATCCAGTGGTTATCCACTGGTTTGCCCATCAAAAATCCACTGGATTTTTGATGTGCACAAACCCTCATCTTAAACAGTGGGCAAACAGTGGACTTGCCCTGCGGGATTCCCGCGAGAATCCCTAAGGCCAAATCCTTCATCCTTAAGGCTGGGCAAACAGTGGACTTGCCCATCAAAAATCCAGTGGTTATCCACTGGTTTTCCCATCAAAAATCCAGTGGATTTTTGATGTGCACAAACCCTCATCTTAAACAGTGGGCAAACAGTGGACTTGCCCTGCGGGATTCCCGCGAGGATCCCTAAGGCCAAATCCTTCATCCCAAAAGGCTGGGCAAACAGTGGACTTGTTCTGCAGGATTCCCGCAGGAATCCCTAAGGTCAAATCCTTCATCCCAAAAGGCTGGGCAAACAGTGGATTTTTGACGGGCAAATCCAGTGGATATCCGCTGGATTTTTGATGGGTAAGTCCACTGTTTGCCCGGCCTTAAGGATGAAGGATTTGGCCTTAGGGATTCTTGCGGGAATCCTGCAGGCAAGTCCACTGTTTGCCCACTGTTTGAGATGAGGGTTTGTGCACAGTGAATATCCACTGGATTTTTGATGGGCGAATCCACTGTTTGCCCACTGTTTGAGATGAGGGTTTGCGCACATCAAAAATCCACTGGATTTTTGGTGGGCGAATCCACTGTTTGCCCACTGTTTGAGATGAGGGTTTGCGCACATCAAAAATCCACTGGATTTTTGATGGGCAAACCAGTGGATAACCACTGGATTTTTGATGGGCAAGTCCACTGTTTGCCCAGCCTTAAGGATGAAGGATTTGGCCTTAGGGATTCTCGCGGGAATCCCGCAGGGCAAGTCCACTGTTTGCCCAGCCTTAAGGATGAAGGATTTGGCCTTAGGGATCCTCGCGGGAATCCCGCAGGGCAAGTCCACTGTTTGCCCAGCCTTAAGGATGAAGGATTTGGCCTTAGGGATCCTCGCGGGAATCCCGCAGGGCAAGTCCACTGTTTGCCCAGCCTTAAGGATGAAGGATTTGGCCTTAGGGATCCTCGCGGGAATCCCGCAGGGCAAGTCCACTGTTTGCCCGGCCTATGAAGATGAAGGATTTGGCCTTAGGTATTCCCGCAAGAAGCCTGTGGTGCATCCGTTATGCTCCATGGCACAGTATGGAAAAACGATGGATAATCGATGGACAGCGGATTGTGTTTTTACTGGGCGGTTGAACACACAATTCGCCTTCATTTGCACTCGCGCGCACTCTTCCAGCTGAAATGGTTCAGTCAGGGCGAGAAAACACATCTCTTCTGTGCTCATTTTAAGATCTTACTGTGCATAGAGAAGCGACTCTATGCTCTGGCTCTTCACATGTCTGCCAGACACAATAATTCATGCAAAGATATTCCTGCATCTCTGCCACAATGAAGATTAACGAGAATGGAGACAGGAAGAAAATATCAACAGAATATCGCATCATTTGCTCATCTTTAGACACCCTCTTGCAGATCAATACAGACATCATGCATGGATGTTGAGAATAGAAAGCGTCAACAAAAGCAAATACACTGGAATTGCAGTAATACTTTATTCACATTCTCTAACTAGACCATTTAGTGCAATTTCCCCCTTTCATTGACGATATTTACACATACGAGCTTGTTTTTCTCTTTCAGCAGTTTTGTCATCAATGCCATCAACCAATTTTCCTGCTATGCAACATGTTATTTTTCTGATTTGCCAAAAAATGGATCAATAGTCGATGAGAGTTGCGGATTTTTATTGGCAAAATATACTTTTTTTTGGTACTAATTTAATTGGAATTTTTATTCATTCGAGTTATTTTGTGGTTCACAAAGTGGCAGTATTTTAATGAATATATTCTAACAAATATTCGATTGTGTGATTATTGAATTTTGAATTTTTGGTCTTTTTATTAATACAGTTAAATTTTATTTTCTTACAATACAATTATTCCTATTATTTTCCATTTAAATTGTGCGTCAATTTCCGAAAGGCACAAATGAATTCCTTAACATTTTAATGTGTTTTTTTTTTTCTTTTATTTTCCACTCATGTCTCACTAGTTTTACACCCCTTATTGAAGAGCTTTGCAATTTTGTTCAGTCAATTTCGGGAAAATCACTGAATTACCTCTTATGCTGCCAATTAGGCGGATGGGGAAAAAAGCAGAAGATCGACAGAAAATGTGCCCACAGACACGAAATTTCACCCAAAGAATCTCCAACTTTTTCCGGAGATATTCTCCTGTTGGCCCAGAGGAAATTATGTCGCGAGATTAGTATCGAAAGCCAGAGAGAAAGAGAGAGAGAGAGAGAGTGGAGAGAAAAAAGGTGAAGAGGGTCCAAAGCAGGCTGACAAGAGCAACCAACTTAATGAAGCCATTGCCACAGGGCTCATCTCAACCTGTCCGAGTGACTCACATTGCGGCCGAAGGACGGGAAATCAGGAGGGAGTGCCATGGAAAAAATCAGGAAAAACTTCTGGCATTTCCAACTCGCACAACTTTCGCCCCCACTGCCGCCTTCCCAATACAATTTCGTCAATTTTGACCGATTCTCTGCGACTTGGAGGGCGAGAAGAAACTCTTGACATATTTCACATGTCCCGAGAGTGCGAAGGAGAGAAATCAAGAATTTCCTCCCCATCTTCATTCACCATCAAGTCAGACCGCAAGAGAAACTTTCCGCTTTAACTTTATTCTTTGCCCGGTTCTTGACTTTTGCGAAGCAAAACAACCTTTAGGCTGAAAACAGAAGATTTCAAGGTATAACTTTCCACCGAAAAAGAATAACCACCAGCATTTTAACTTTGATGCTTGAAGGATAAAGTGAGAGAATTCTGGCAAAATCGCAATTTCAAAGTTTACAGCAATAAAGTAACTGGCATTTTAATGAAATTTATCATCATTTCACTCACACAGGAAACCTTCAACCAACAATAAACACTGCGATCTGTCAAGTTGCAATACAATAAATTTCCCTCCACAGATCCAAAAGCAAACATTGAAATTGTGACAAAACATCCAATCCTGGGAGAGAAAATATTCTAACACTGTTTGTATTCTTCATGCAGAAAATTGATATTTCATCCTCGTATATCACTTGTACTCAAATATTTTATCACAACAGCGAAAAATTTGACCATAATTTAAGGGCTGAAGTGTGGAGAAAAGCATGTTAAAGTCATATTTCTCCTAAGCATGAAATAAACAACAGATAAATCACTTTTAATAGTTTTCCTCTGCAGGCACACCCAGCAAAAGAGCAATAATTTTCACCAATACGTGTTTTATTTAAGAAGAAAATATAATAAATAACATGTTGCATAGTGTAAATTTCTCATCCTCCATAAACACTCTTAAAGCTCTTCACTGTCTTTTGCCCCATATTATTTAAACATAATTTTTTGTAATACGCGTCAAGTTAATTGTAACATAAATTTTTTTTTGTTCCTTCTTTAAACTCTCAATTTACAATTCGTATGATTTCATAGCAATGGGATAATTCATCTCTAAAGTAACATTTAATATGCGGAAAAAAATTGTGTAATTTGCAAATTGCTGAATAAATAATTTCGTGCTAATATTCATTAAATTATAATAGAGATAAATGCTCTCTTTCTCGCACACTAAAGTTTATGTTCTATAGCTTCTCTCATCGCGCATTTCCTTTCGCTCACCATGAGGATAATTTGATTGCAATGTAAAGGAAAAGTACATCTATCTATATTCATAAGAAACACTTATAGATGATTTGTCGAAGTAACAAAGAGATTTGTGTGATGCTTCACGAACTTCTTACAATTTATTGTACAAATTCCTATCAATCGTTTTAGTATTTCGAGTGATATACTAAATAAAAACAGCACACGACAAATTGTGAAAATTCTCTCTTCGTTCTGACGTCTATACAAAAGCTACACGAATACTTTTTTTCATGCTTTTTTTTTAGAAATTATTTCACTTGCTAAATATGTAGTTAGATTCGATCAATTTCCGGTGTCAGTTCACATATTTTTCTTCATTTTGATCGTTTTCTTCTCCCTTTCGCTCTCTCTAAATTATTGCATACTTATCTATACAAACTAATCTTTTCTTTAATATATAAATATTTTACTGTGTTCCATGGAAATATGAATTCGTGTTTGTAAAACAAGAAATATATATAACAGACGTTAACGATTCTCCTCTCATGATATTGTCCGTATAAAAATATAGTAGCGCTCTGCTGTGATTCCTTAACATCGTGTTTAAGTGTCGCCAAAAGTCCCTATTAGTTTCTTTGTGTCACTCTCATCAACTTACTAACCGAAGTACAGAGATATTACATCCAACTACTCGCCATTGTTGTATCTCTTGGACGGCGGAATCAGATGATCTGGCAGAACGGTCGGCAGCTCATTTCCGTCCAGTTTCACATTGATCAAGTGCATGGCCAGCGCGAATTCCTCCACATCGAGGAATCCATCGGCATCAACATCGGACAACTTCCAAATTTTGCTCAGCACGGAATTTGGGAGTTTGGATTTAATCAACTCCTGTTTTGCGGCTGTTCGGTGTGAAAGTGAGAAGGGGAGACAAATTAGATTATCTTTCCATTTCACTGAACCACTTTCCTTTTCCCCCTTTTCCACCCCCATCCCCCCCAAACCCTAAGCATATTGTGAAGATAGTGAAAATCACACTAAAATCAATATACTCACTAGCACCGGAAATTTTCCCATCAATGGGACCCAATCTCTCAAAGATTGGATCAGTTCGGCCTCGATCACGGTTGCATATCCAATCCAATTCACCAGAGCCAGCATCGATTCCTTCGCCCTTGCGATATCCAAACGGTGACACACTGTCCTCGCCGATACCCTCGAAGGCACCGCCTGAAATGAATGTCAATGGTACATTCATTAATTAGAACAATTGCCCCTGAAACACGCGTTCACTCCAGTATTTACTATCTCACCCTCCCTGTTTATCCTACCCTCACCGCAGACCTTCGATGGGGCGCGCGGGAGCGGCAGGGAAAAAGGGCATCAAGGGTTCGGAGCGTGACAATAAAATGGAAGAGAACAAAAACAGTAAAGCTTAAAGCTTCAGTCGCAATTGAACTTTCAAGAGTCATGCCCTTCCAAGTGCACTGAAATAATTTACATGACCCAGACTTGACGGGAGTCTAGTTGATAGATTTCGCTAAAACATCTCACGAAAGCGTCATTCTGATCCCAAACTCAATTCTACGACGCAAGAACATCAAGGAAATCAGTCATAATTGCTGGAATGAGCTAGAATTTCAGGGTAATTGAAATCATTATCTCGAAAATTACAACTGTCTCAATCTGATGCAAGCAATGAACAACAAATTTCCTTGTTCAACACCATGTTTATCAATTTCTCATTATTTTTAGAGCATGTTTTGTGAAAATTCATGCATAGCATGATCACAATACATTAAAGCGGCAAAAAATAAATTAACCCAAATTGAAAATCTCTGCAAAAATCTCGAAATGATTACCATTGTTGTCCTGTTTTTTTTTTGTAATTTAAAAAATATACATATACATCCTTTTGTTTACAATGAAAATTTCCATGATGCTACAATGTTTTTCCACCACGAACATTTGCATTTTAAGTACTCATTTAGCAGAAATTATCATGGACATTAATATCAATTGTATTTCAAGGCATTAAACGTGTGTAAAAAGGGAAAAGTTATACTTTAAAATTGATCGCGCGGACTGTAAAAAAAAACGTATATAAATCCGTCACGAATGATTATGCGGAGTGGTGCATTAAAAAAGCACCATACGCCGGATTTTGAGGGTGAAAATGTGTGTGAGTGGCGGTACAAATTGTTTCACCTCACAAACCCACCCACTCATTTCCATCAACTTCATCCCCCGTGCGGCAACCACATAACTAATAGATGTAAAAGTATACACTTCACAAATTGCCAATCAACCGACAAATGGTCGTCTATTTATTTACTTTACATGTACAACAGGATACATATACGCAAGAGAAAGCACCCAGTTTTATCCACATATTTTCAAATGGAGCCACAGCGACATCACAGCAAAATATCTCATCCCCAATGGTGGGTGAGATGTTGGTCGAATAGGAAATGAGTGGGGGGGTTGCCGACCTGCCTCCCTTTTGCTCGTCATTGCTGTTGTTTTGTGTGAGCTTTCCTATATATACACACGCTAAAAGCACAAAACGGAAAACTCCCACGGCCCACCATTCTTCGCTTCATAGCTCCAATCCTCCCTTCATTCAGTCTCACCCAACTAATTTCACTTTACCCCCTCAAGCCTCATCGGCGAGTGATTATTCATCAGTCATTTCCTCGTTTCAAAATAATATTGACTCTGCACTGCCAATAATTCCCCATTTACACACGCACACTTTTATCATTCCCCAAGCTCAAAAGCGACAGTGGAGCGTCATAAAACCACACAATGCGAAAGCATAAAAACATGGTGCGGAATGGAAATCATTAGAGAAACATTTAATGCCCAGTTGAGAGTTTTCTTCATCTTCATCGTCCATTAATTCCATCGAAGAAGCAAAAGAAGTGAGAAAAACCAAAGAGTTTCACAGCTCAATCCCAAAGACATTGACCGACATTCACTGGCGGGAATTATTAGTATCTACCGGCGATAGCGAATTGATAAAGTATCACAGTGTTAAAATATACTGAGACACAGTAGATCCAGTCGTGACATAACATTAGGTACACATTATACACCGAATCCACCTGATTCCCCCCTACTTGTGGTACATTAAACTCTCCCCCCTTATCAAGCACCCTTATCGCGTACGGAATTATCTCAGCAACTTGTTCTCCACTATGTCAGCGCCAAGAGAGATAAGGCATACACATGAATTCAAGGGAAACACCATCACCGAATGTGTTGTAACACGTTCTGTAGTCAGGAGCTGCCTGGGTTGGTCTTTCCGACACGATAGTTATCTTACTCGTGCATGCTTAACCCACTGCACAAGTCAATTTGCCAGCAGAAACATATTCGTTTCTCGACATTAAGTCTTCTTGAAGTTGAGGGACATTTATGGCAGTATGAAGAAAGGAATAAAACACACCTTTTAGCAAGTTATTCATCATTTCAACCTGAGAATTTCAAAACACACACTTCAATATTTCACATTATTTCAAATTATATAATAATTACAGACTTGAAAAATACCCAAAAAAAATCTAACCGATTTCTTGCTGAAAATCACCCTAAAACTAAAGCTGCTTTCCTCTCAGCTTTTGCATGACAGGAAAATTAATAGTCCCCTTTTGTGTATATCCTTAACAAAAAAAAAATCCCAACTTTTTCACATAACATTTGCGAAGTGGGTGAAAAAAAAGTTGATGAAAAATGCGAAAGCTAATGTGAAATTGTGGTGTTCGCAAGTGTTCATCCGGCACATCGATGAGCTCGCAGTGTTGGAGGAATTGTGAGGATTAGAGGCGCGACAAAAAATAATTCAACAACTACAAATGTCTCATGTCGGCACTTAATAATCATGTTAATTGATGAATGGCACAAATTAGCTCGGTCGACACGTGAATCCTCAATTTGCATACCGATATGGTGGAGCTTTTTGCACATTTCACACTCCTCAATGATTTGCCATCATTTCAATGAGAAGGTCCTTTTGTTAGCACAGCACCATCAATTAAAAGCAGGGAGTTGACGTGCGTTTTTTTCTCATTCGCCACCCAAATGGCACAACAATTGTTTCACACTCAATTTATTGACTTGAAAATGTTATTGTGACTTTTTTCCTCCTCGTACAATGTTGAAGCGTTCTTCGCTATGGAAATTGACATTGCTCAGAGGTAGGCATAAGTGTAAAAGTAGTTTAAAAATTCATGCAACTCATAAATATTGCATAGCAATTTAATTCATGTGGTAAATTGCATTAATACGAGACAAAGAGTAGGATAAATTTTATCCAATTTTGGTCACTGATAATTGAGTTTCGCTTAGAAAATAAGCGATGAATCATTCACTTTTGGCCTAGAAATATTTATGACGTACACCATGACTTATGGAAACACTCGAAAATCTATTTTCGAGTTAAATTTCCCCATTCTGTAAAAATCACTATAAAACAATAGTAGAATATTCATGTTTGAAACTTGATAAGAAGTATTTCTTCAATAGACATACTAAACAAGCAGAAAAACTCATGTTCAAGTCATTCAAAGCATAAAAGGAAGGTAAAAATTTTCCGTGCACGATTTTATGGAGAACTTTTGGACATTTACAGAGAAATTTTTCATCTCCTTTGTGCGCGTTCTTCTACTGCTTCTTTTCTCCCCTTCCCAAGTCAAATTCTTCCCAAAAACTCTCACCCAAGATTTTTTCACCACAATGAGCCAAAAAAAAATTATGACCATGACGACTTTTCGGGTTGGGAAACATAGACGAGCATTCCATGAATGAAATGTTACAAGTTAAAAAGAGACCTTTTCCACCTCTAATTCAGCGCTTAGCGCGTGATTCTTTGAACAGACTTTGGAAAAGTAGGTGGTTTCACTTGCAGCTCTTTTTCCGCGCTTTATTAAATTATATTATCACCAACAAGTCTCTGACCATTTGTGATTTTTCCTCTCTGTCCCTCTCTCTCTCTCTTCGTCACTTCGCGCTTCTGCGCGTCTAATTACCAAACTTGCCTGAACTCTCTTTCAATTCTCATTTTCCCCCAATTAAATTGCAATTGAAGTAATTAATTGGGATTGCGAAGCGTTGCCGGCAAATATTCCGCTTCTGAATCTATGTCTAGGCCAATTAAATGCGAAATCGATGAAATATTGTCACACAAACTCTCCTTTGAACCTTGTTTCTCTCTTCCAATGTAGTGCTATTGCTTTATCATCTTCTCTTCCACTCTATTTGATATGACTTCACGCGTAACACACATTGAGTTGATTCAACTTCAGAGTTTAAATAGAGTGACCAGACTAAAAGAGGGAATATTTGAGTGATAAGGAAAGTTACGTTTGAGGAAAAAAAAGTCGACATTTATCATGAATCAAGCTCAAATATTTATCCATGTGAAGGTTGAAGCGGGAATTATGTAATTTGTCATGGTAAAAAATTTTCATCAAATACACAATTAGGAAAGGTAACGGATGTTCAAGACTAGATTGACCAGAGCACAAAATTCTAATAATGCTCTGCATGACTGTGAAAATACCTCAGAATTGTGTTATAAATTCCCAATTTTTAACAGTGTTCATGTGATATTTTCCCGAGGTAATCATTCAAAATCAAAAGAAAAAAAACTCCACACTGGGGAATATCATCAAAATTCCGTCATCGTGGGCATAAAATTCACAAGAAAAATTTTCCCCGTGAATCAGATGATGGAAGAAAATGTGTGAAATTTTACACTCAGCTGCGCGATACAATTAAAACATTGATGAATGGGAGGCGATTAGAAGCGTTACAAGTGAAATTGCGAGTATTTTCCTACGTAAAAATGCGAAATATTTCTAAATGTGGTCAATCTGTTTGTGTCATGCATCATTTCCACTTGCTCTATTCACGGCTAAATGTTAAATAATAGAGCACAATTCAAGCACATGCCTAAAGAGACAGGAAAGGCACGAGAGATAATAATGTGGCAAAACCTTATCATCTGCACTATATTTTTCAATTAATTCCCGCATGCAGACAAACAACAATTCCCATTTGGGTTACTTTGACTTCCTCAAGAGCAACTATGCAGATCAAATCAATTAAAGAAGTCAAAAGTGATTCATAGTCTCTTCACCAGCCATTTCACTCTCTCAAGGATGAAATTCTCAGAAAAAAAAGATATTTCCAGAAATATTTCCTCATCTCTCGAATGCTAATTCAGTGCCGATTGTCGCTTATCAGTGAATGAATTCTGCTCATGATTTAGCAATTAGGCTACAAGAAAATTTTCCGTGAGTCCAAATCATTTTGCCTTTTTCCCCGTTATCGCAATCCACGTCACGAGTTCTTTTCAAACTGACGTGTACAATTTTTTTGAAAGAGAAAATTCAATAAACATTTTTTCCTTTTCCGTTTCTAGAAATTATTAATCGATCACTTGATGGTTTTATTACAAAAATTCGATTAAGTTGTGCTCTGTTGCCACCCAACTTCATCCCCATCTTCTGGGTGGTGAAATTGACTTTTCTTGCTGCTGAAAAATTCATTTGGCATCTGTGACTCTGTTCTTTTTCACTTTTCAGCACATTTTCCCATTCGAGGAATATTAATTAAAATGCTTCCGTCCCTCAATGCTTCTTATATAGGGCAATTAATCAATCTCAATGAATAATCACAGTCATTAATTTATTAAAACTTTGGTTAATTGATCAAAATTTTCACTTTGCATGGATATAATCATGGATATCCCAAAAATATACTTGTAATATTTAATCAAATTGATTTCACTTCGGATCGCCAGCAATTGGCGAAGATTATTACTTATTAGCTTCCTAATACAGATACGTATTTAGCTAACGATATACTTCAATAGAAATCTTTTCACAGTCACTGACCCTAAACACAGTAAACAATCCCCAAACATGCACTTGTGGAGAAAAACAGAATAATTATATACTAGTGATTTACATAAAAGAAATATTTCTGCACTTTTCCAATCATCCCTGCCGAAGATCTTAAATCCTGCCTAACTGTGATGCCAAGTGGCGAATGGTCAGAGCATGGGCTACCTTTGTGGGTGGGGTTATTCGCGATTACGCAACGCTTCACTGTCACTTGACTCACCTTTGACGACGGGCTCGGACACGAGGTTGCTCTCCTCCTGCGGAATCATCTCCATCAGCTTGGCAATGTCGGTGGCCAGCATCTGATCCACCACGTCGAGCAGATGCAGCTTCAGCGAGTGGAACTTGGTGAAGTCCTGATGCTGCAGCGTCTCCTGCATCTTCTTGATGTCTGGGAAGTCTCCCGGTGAGATTTGATGCTCTCGTTGGATCTTGTCGTAAATCTGCCCTAAGTTCTTAATCAGCTGGTTCTTCTTCGCATCCTTGCCGAACACTGAGGGCATCTCCTTGCGCAGCTCGGCAATGATGTAGGCATGCACCTTGGCCAGTCGGGCGCGCTTTATGAGGTCGTTCAGCTTCCGTAGAGCAGCATTGCGGGGCAGAGATTGCAAGTCCCTGAACAGATCCTGCTCCTCATCCTCAAACAGACGACGATTCATGTCGTAGCGCAGCGGCTGGTCCCAGAAAGAGCCAATGTACACACGCGCCACCTCGGGCGTCTGCAACACCTTGCCCAGCGACCACATGAGCGCTCCATAGACACGCATCAGCTGCTGGTGATCCACCATGTCCGCCTTGTTGAGGATGATGCGGATCTTGTCGTCGTGGCCCTTGAGCGCTTCGATGGAGCGCCGGAACTCATCGCTAATGTCCAACTTGTGGGCGTCAAAGAGCAGAATAATCCTGTCCACGCGCTCCGCGAACCACTCCAGAACACCAGTGAAGTCATAGCCACGGTCGATGCGCTGCTTCTCACCCGACAGAATGCCGGGCGTGTCCACGATGGAGATGGCCTGGAGGACGGGCGAGGGCAGCGAGGAGCACTGAAAGCGATTCAGGAAGGCGTTGCCGTACTTGCTGAGCGGACGGAACTGCTTCTTGGGATCCACCACCAGTGCATTGCCCGGGATCACGCCCTCCTTCTCATCCCACATCACGGCGATGAATCTGTCCGTCGTGGGCTCCGGCCCGATGCGAATGCCCGGAAAGTCCCTCTCCAGGAGGTAGCGAATGAAGGTCGTCTTGCCCGTGGAGTACTGTCCCACCAGCAGAATCATGGGCTTCGCATCGAAGTCCGGGTCCTCGAGTCTGGGCGAGTGGAAGTCATGGAAGCAGTAGTACTCCTCCAGGGGCAGCAACTTCGTCCGGTAGATCTTCTTCAGGGCGCCCACAACATTGTCCACCACCTCCTGGGTGGCCTTCTCGCGCTTCAACCAACTGAACATCGCTGCCGATCTCACTGAATCTCACCTCACAGCCGCGCTGATGCACCCCAGTTGCACTCTCAGACACTCTTCACTGCTCTTTTTCGCGCTCACACCCACCGATCGGGCCTCGCAGGCAGGGAAAAAGGTGATAAAGATATAAGTGATCGCGGAGAGTGCGAAAAAAATATCCACCCTGTCACATGTGACAGTGATGACGTGTGCGCCAAGTTCGAAAGTCCGGAATGCAGAGGTGAGAGTCGTGAAGGTCGGCGCGCTGGCCGAGGCAGAGAAAAACGACATGGAAATTTTCCGTATTTTGGAAATCAGGAAATTTTAAGTAATGTCATTAATTGTTCTTCTCGCAAAAATGCTACTTTGATCAACATTCTATTCAAGTTTGCGGAAGAGAATTGCTGATTGCCGCCGCTGCTGCGGTATTGCTGATTTCGAACAGTCATTTCGGATTCCGGAGAAGACCTGACAGCTGATTTCGAACGAGTAAAAAGTGCAAGGGCAGTGGATTCCGCAGAGTGCTTCTCAATTTCCCTTTCGTCTTTAATGGGAAATTGATTTAGGAAGTTCTCGCAATTTCACATACAGTCAACAATTGAGAAGCAGTTTTTCTTCAAAAATCTTCAGTCAAAATCGGATGTTGTCTCTCAAATTACCTTCCCATGCCGCACGTTTGTAGTAGTGGAAACTCTTCTTGTAATTGGAAGGGTTGGAGTTGGATTCATTGAAAGAAAAACACCTCCCTCCACTCGCATTGTTGACCGAACAGCGCAGTAACTTGTTGTGTGATTTGTCTCGCTGAATTTAATCGCAAATTCATCCAGTGAAAAGTGTCCAAATTGTGAAATATACCCCACAAGAAGTTCACACTTTGTACAGTAGATAGTTTTTGTGGCAACACATCGGCAAAATGTGAGTAAAAGCCGAGGAAAAGAGGCTTTTTGTGGAATGGGCACAGAAGAGAAGGATACTCTGTTATTTCGTCGTCTCGTCAATCTCCTTTATTGGCCTTTTTTCACCCCCAAGAAACACTATTATATCGTCCGGGAGACGGCCTGCTCTCCATGACGCCACTTTCCATCGATTAGTGGGGCGCCTAGTGTGGGTTTGGCATGGCTTTTCTATCGATTTTCACACCCTCATGGCGCGAAAAGGCCGCCAGTCTGTCACACGATTTATGTAACAATTCTTGTAAGAAAAGCTTTGCGAACGTCGATTCGTCTGAGCGCTTGAAGATAGGGCAAACTTGGGGAATTTGACTAAATTCGGGACGCTTCTGATAAGATAGATGAGTTGTGCGAATTCTTTATTCCTCACAATGCGAACAAGACAGTCTTCCGGATATTGAGACAAAAACACCCTCTTTGTGTCTCCAGAAGTGGCTAAAAATACCTCCAAATCTGGCTTCCAAACCTCCCGAATATCCACACCAATTGCGTCACAAAAGCGTGAGTCTGCGGAATGCGCAGGAAGAATTTCCCATGGTTTTTCCAGATAGTGAACTGGAGAACTGTGATATCGGCAGTTATCAATGGCTTTCGATGTAGTAGACGCAAAACGTGACCCTCTAATCTATTTTTGCGCCAAAATTCCACGAGCTCTTGTCGCAATCATATCACGCGAAGAAGTCATCCGCGGTGAGAATTTTCTATTAATATCCGAACACGTCTCGAAGGCAGTGAAACCAGTTTCGCGGCAACCCTTCGGCGGCCCACACGCGAGATCAGCGGTCAGAAAGGTGGGGCTCAGAGGGTTTGTCAGTGGCGAAAGGATTCCTATGTTGTTTCTGCACTTTCGTCATGGCTTCCATGTTTGTTTTTGTGATCAATAGAGGTCATTCCTCCTTATCATGGTGTGTTTTGAGAGAGTTTTGTCCAAAACAACCTTCTTCTTGCCTCTGTGTAGGCTAAAGTCAAATAGATTTCAGCTGTAAAAGCGAAAAAAAACAATAAATTTTCATAATTTAAACGTGAGAGAATGCTAAACCAAAGTGCGAAACGAAACCTCAAAAAAGGGGCAAAGCATTGAGTTTGATATTTGATAGAGCCCCAAAATGTTGTTTATTTGCTGGATGAGTCTTCAAATGACTCGACTTTACATGCAAAATAAACACAATTGTTTGAATTTCCCCTCAAAGTCTATTGTAGAGTAATCAATAATCATCAGTGGACCGTTGAACTGTCGTCCTACCTGTTGATCAGCGACATGAAGAGCACACAAGACTGTCTTTCACTTCCCTCTCTTGAACATTGGCTTAGCGCAGCTATAATAAAGTCTTCAATAACTCTTTCAAGGATCATTTTATTACATATTGTCTTAGATTTCTCCTGGCTAAAGTGTCTGTTTGGTATGTCATCTCTGATTTGAGATTCCCCTTTCTGGGTGAAACGAATTGTAACGACTTCCCATGACTTTGGACTCTCCGTTCCACGATCTCACCATCAATTGCCTTCGCAATTCTATTTATAGATTGCCCGAGACGCACTCTCTCGACGCCAGGAAATTCAATTAATGCTCAGTGCGCGAAAAACCCTTCGTAAAATACACAAATTCCTTATCATGTGAACATTATCCTGATTCCCAGACGTTTCATAATCTCTCCAGATAGTGAATTTTATTCTCGTCTCTTGCTATTTAATCACAACATACTTGTTCTATTAGCATTTGTCTGAAAAACAAACAATTGTGTCCATCAAGTATGTACGATAACATCAGTGAATTTGCAATATCGCGCAATTTATTATGCAATTTCGCTGTTCTCGAGTGTTTTCTTTTATTCCATATCAATTAAATGTGCATAAGTTGAATTTCCATTGATTTTCTCCATAAATTTTCGGTGGACATTTGATTGATTAGTTGACTTTTATTAATCCTTGTCTGAAACTAGCATATTTAATCGCATCTTTGTGGTATTTTGTAGTGATATTAATAAATCATTGCCACAATGAGAAATGCTCTAATCTGTTTACTAACCTCTGTGCAAAGCCAAAGTTAAATAATTTAGTCTTTTTTATGCCATTTCCGCTATCCAAACACATCATTTGGCGAAGTGCGGGGCGAATTGACTATTTCTGCATCAGAGCTTCGCAAGGTTGAGCCGCTGAAGGAGTCTAAATTATCCAATTTTCATACAATTAGTATGTTTTTGCGTGTCTGTGGCACACAAGAAAAGCTCTCTATTTGCGAAAATCATTCTCATTATTACTCTTTCGTGCTGTGACTTGTTTAGCGAGTGAGATCAACAGTTTGGTGTGTGGGAAAGTGAATATTTTTGTCTGCTCTTGGAAGTGTTTTTTTCTTGCGAATCTTGACGATGCGCGTCTGAGAATTGTGGGTGTTTCTCAGCTGTGCACAAAATGCAGAAAATGTGTAATTGAGGCCTACGTCACTTGTTTATAGACACGTCGAATTTGTCTCTCTTTTTGCGCTTGGAGTGCGGCAAGATAGATTTCGTCTTGCCATTTTTATCATATCCTTGAACTTGTTTTGCTCTATCTTCTCTCACTCTCGCTGTCCGACATTGAATTATTGTGTGCGATTAAAATGCAAGCTTTCTTATTAACTAATTTACTCACGACACGCGCACAATTTTTAATTAAATTTGCCTCTGTCTCAGGCGAGATTAGGCGAGCGGGAGAGAAAGACAGAAGAAGAAAAACGTTTTCATGGCGATTTCATTGACCCATCAGCTGTTGTTCGCTCTGCTAAAATGTGAATCTCTTCTATGTTTACTTTCAGCGAGAAGCTATTGGCCACAGCGGCTTGCGATGTAGAGTGGAGCTCGCGGTGTCAGAAGATGACCAGAGATCAATTGTGGTGAAATCAACGTCTCTTGCTGCGCATCTGCCAAGCTTCGAAGATGAGTGGACTCGTTGAGAAGTCACCGAGTATTTCCATGTCCATTAAAGCCACAACATCAGCAGCGGCCCCGGCCGCGACGCAGGAGCCGGCGCAGGCGGATGCTCATGAGTCGCCGCCGAAGCTCAACAACGTCAATGTCGTTCTCACTAGTCTCATCGCGGGAGCGATTGCTGGTGCGCTGGCCAAGACGGCCATTGCGCCGCTCGACCGCGCCAAAATCAACTTCCAAATCAAGTGAGAAAGCAGCCATCAATCCTGTCCTCATCTTATCAACTGACTCACTGAACAAGAAAGTTGACTGGGACAGAAATAGAGACTTTTGCGCTCGCTTTTCTGTCACCGCACAGACTGTGTTATCGCGAGGGGATCGAGAGTGGTTAATGGTCAAAAAGCGCCGCGCAACAGGTGCTAATGAACGGAGTCATTAGAATTTTTGCCGATGCTAAATAACACACGAGCAAGATGAGTCTCGTGGATGAATTTGATGGAAAGAGAATCTTAACATTGTTGTGATCTTGCAAGGCCAGAAACTGACGAAACTCAAGATCAAACTTGTCGTTAATATTCCATTGATCTTTTCACTTTGCTGAAGCGATGTTTGAGAAACCTTGCAATTCTTTGTTAAATATTTTATTCTGTGTGGAACAGAAAGCAAAACAAAGAACCCGTGTTGATAAATTTTTATCAAAACTGAAACATTGCTTGAGTTTATTGCATTTTCGCAGAATAATCAGTGATAAACACGCAAAAGCGAGACTTGTTTAAAAAAAAAATGGGAAATTTTCGTGTATTACAGGTGTTTGTAGAGGAAGAAGAAATTCGGTGTCAAAAGACTTTGACCGGGAATGAGAGAAATTACTTCCGATTTCACTCTTCAGTTAGTAGTAATTTTCCGCTGATTTTCCATTATCACTTTTTACATTCAATTTCAATTGATACGAGAATTGTGTGATTATCTGATAACCTCATCAAGGCGTCAGACTGAATTAATTGTGCCCTTGACTACTGAGTATAAAATGAGATTTTTAATGCCTCTCTTTTCTTTTATCGTCAACAGCAAAGAAACTCCTTATTCATTTCGCGGTGCTACTCTTTTCCTGAAGCGTGCCTTCGAGAAGGAGGGATTCCTGTCGCTGTGGCGCGGAAATTCCGCCACAATGGCCAGAATTGTTCCCTATGCTGCAATTCAATTCACCGCTCACGAGCAGTACAAGAAGCTGCTGAGAGTGGATCAAGACAAAAGGTGAGTTGAAACTCTCCGGGTGGAGAAGTTAACTCAACTGTTGAATATTCTGCAGTACAAACATCCGGAGATTCCTGGCTGGATCTCTGGCGGGAATAACGTCGCAGTCGATGACGTATCCGCTGGATTTGGCGCGCGCCCGGATGGCCGTGACGGACAAGTACACGGGCTACAGGACGCTGCGGCAGGTCTTCGTGACGATTTGCCGAGACGAGGGCCCGCGGACGCTGTTCCGGGGCTACTGGCCCACCGTGCTGGGCGTGATTCCATACGCTGGCATGTCGTTCTTCACGTACGAGACGCTGAAGCGTGAGTACACGGAACGCACGGGCGAGAAGAAGCCCAACACGCTCTTCTCACTGATGTTCGGCGCCGCGGCCGGTGTGATTGGGCAGACCAGCAGCTATCCTCTCGATATTGTGAGGCGAAGAATGCAGACGATCGGCATCAACGGCAGGACCGATCAGTACTCAACGATCATCTCGACTCTCCAGAAGATTTACAGGTGAATTTCATGTGCCCAGAAAGTGTCTCCTTGCATTTCTAAGCTTTTTCTCTTTTGATTGTGCTTTCAGAGAGGAGGGAATAAAGAATGGATTCTTCAAAGGCCTCAGCATGAATTGGATAAAAGGACCCATCGCCGTAGGAATTAGCTTCTCCACATATGATTTCATTAAGGAAGTATTGCGAGAAATAGTCGGATTGCAAACTGACGCCAAAGAATAAGTGTGAATATCCTTTTTTCAATATATTGAATGAGCCATTTAGAAAAAGTCCAGTGATTGTAAAATTGCAGAAGATGAAATATGAGGAAGAAGAAAAAAAAACATTGTGATCAGAGCAAAGCCCTGTAGTGAAGAAAATTGTCCCTTTGTGGAATTTGTAAAAGATGGAAAATCACTCACGCGATATTTCTTAGCTAACTGTTAGTTTTGTATTTTACTCGAGAAGAATGTCTCTGTTAAACACTCAATGCGCTCAATTGTCAGTCTGGTTAATTTGGTAATTTATGCTTAGAGCACATGGTAGATGATATTGCTTAGTTTTTACATTTTATGAGAGAGAGAGAGAGAATTGTGGAATAAAACCTTATGATTTTGACTAAATATACCTTCCATTTTTGATCGATCAGGAGAGACTAATTGCCTATCAAGTGACAATAATTATACGGTGCCATGGGTCAATTTAATATGTAAAACTACAATGAGAGTGTTTATTAAATAGATCTGAATGATTTTTCATTTATCTCTCTGTTTTGCTATGAGGAAAATGCTGCGAAAGGTGAGAATTTGGCGGGAGAAAATCAAGGGGAAAAGCGGTGAATCATTCTCCGGAATATTGCGCCTTCTTTCCGCAAGAGGACGCTGCGAATGTCGAATATTCATCGATTTTCCCCTCCGACGCTGGACGGTCTGGCATAATATCGGCAGACAGTGTTTATAGGGTCCCCACTCCGCCATTGCGAGCATTCACGCAAAGTGCGAGACGATGAAGTGAGTCCCTCAATTTTGTGGTTTTCCATGTGAAATTGTGCGAAAAATTGGTCAAAAGTGCGTGAAAACAGCAATCAGTGGAGTAAAGTGTTCCATCAAGTAAGTTTCTCGACATTTTCCACGCTGTATTTGCTTGATTTTCGGCTGTAATTCTACTGCGCGTCTCCGCGTTCTGTCACTTCGAGGCTTCCGTGTGCCTCACGATTTTCTGCAAATTTTCCCTTATCGCCACCCAATGCGATTTGCAAATTTCCCGAAACACTTCTTGACGTGCTTACCTAATTGCCAGGAAAAGATTTCGTGTGGTAGAAAAATGCCCAATTCCCGGGAAATCCCGTGGAAAGTGAGCTTCGCAATTTCACACGAAAATGGCAATAAAATTCCATCTGATAAATTTCCTCAATAATCGCGTTTTTCTCACTCAAGTCGACCGCGAGCAAAAAAGACGCGTTAACGAGTGGAGTAATTAATTCCCTCGGCATTTATCTCACATTTCACTTGCGGTCAGAAAATCACCTCTGCAGCCGACGGATGACATTTTCCTCCATCGTGGAAAGCCACACACACACTGTGTGGCCCGCGAGGCTCCGCCAGATCGCGAGACCTTGATATTTAGCTGGGGAAACGGCAAGAGGCCCGCGGAAGGTGCGAATGGTCTTATGCAACGTCAGGGATGGAGCACTCGCGCAGATCGGGCCCTCCCACGCGTCCGGAGGCTTCAAGGGCGCCCCGGGTTGGCCGAAAGGGTGGTTCCGCGACTGCACAGGTGGGAGTGCAGGTCGAGAACAGGTCAAACCAACGCGTCTCACGGAGAGAGTGATTCTAGCGATATCTCCAATCGTAATTTGATACTGTAGAGTTCTCGGAAAAGCGTCTAGTCAAAGAATTCTTCTAGATTAAGGTTATTTTGGTTTTTATTCCACTGTCTAAAATCAGGTTTATTGATTTTAAATCTTCCTCTGCTGCGTTTTGATCTAGTTTTGGTGTTCTATGCGTAAATAGAGTAGAATACATTTTGGGGTAATGTCAGGAAACTCCTGAGAAACTCGCAAATATCTTAATCTCTTCAACATTAGACTTCTTCTGCTTGCTACTTCGATTACACTAGCTGTGATTTATTCAGCAATCGCACTGATTTCGTCTTCTCACGGCAGCGCAGCCCCAAAACTACACTGAGCAGAAGATTGAGAATGTTCGCTGTGAGAGAAGTGAGCGACTGAGTGTGGATTCCGTGTGCGAGAGATCATTTGTTTACACACAATTAACATCCGTTTCGTGCTCAAACGCCCATCTCCGGGTGCGCGGCGCCCTTCTCAGGCTTTCCAACCCCGCGTCATTGGGAAGAATGAAACGCCTGCAATTGCGCCAGCAAAATCAGTCGGGAAAGCCCGCGTGAACACGCACCTTTTCTGCGCTGCGATATAGGAAGCAGACTAATTGGGCGCTTCTCCAGTTACATCTGACATCACATTGCCGCCCTTCCGGAGGGCGTGGGATTTTTCTGTTTTCCATTCAATTTCCACGCGAGATCAAGGGTGTGTGTGAATTCTGAAAAGTCTGCAGTGGATGATCAGGAAATCCATGTGAAATTCTGAGAAATTTGAATTTAAGCATTGGGGTGAATTCGCAGAATTGTGCGATAACTTGAAGATTTCCCGAAAATCAGGAAAGTCCACCGAAGATTGCACTGGAGAAAATTAAACTTAAGGGTGTTTGTCGTCTGTTGGAGATTCTGAGAAGGAAAACACCATCAACAAGTGGGGTGGTATTTTTTGTTTGATTTTAAAACAGTCTTTTAAAATAGCACTTTATTATGTGTTTTACTGGTGAGAAATTTTTTCACTATACTCTTTAATATTGGATTCTCTTAAATGAGCGTAAGACTTTGATCTGACTAAGCTTTCGAATGATTGCTTCTTTTTTTTTCAAAACAATTCCTTCGGTTATTTATAGAAGCGTTTACAAGTCATGAGGCGCTCTCAACTCATTCTGTAATGTCTCACGTGCTGTAAAACTAACAGCAGATGGAATAGACATATTTCCATTTAACACTGACCTTCTCTCACTCTTTGAGTTCTGCGCGCGCGGCAATATTTTGTTGATTGAACCTAGAAGAGAGGTGTTCAAGGTGATTTTTGATAAGTTTGCTAAAGATTAAAGTGTGTGTTTGTGTTGTGTGACTTGAGATCGAATGTATAGAAAATTATCCCTTTCATTTGTGCAGAATTATTGGTTGTGAATAATTTAGATTGTTGGGCAAAACTTCGACAATTAGAGACACACTTTGAGGGATTGTAAAGTGAACTGTTTACCGCAGAAACGTGATAAAGTTGATGTAGATTATATGCGAGGGGAGACAACTTTGCTGTGCGGAGTGTCGATTGATTTCCATTTATGGGTGCCGAAGACGAAAGTATTAATCTTCAACATAAAGAGTTTGACGACGGTGTTTCAGTGGAAGTGAGTGAAATATTCATTAGTCTCGCCTCAATGGTATTCCGCTGAATGGCTGTTGTTTTACAAGAGAGCGCACCCGACTTAGAATGATGAAGACATGTCTCAGAGGCCAAACAACAAGACCATGTTGCACTGCCGTCGAGTGCAAGTGAGCGCGCGTAGTCAGTGAAATAAACAAAAAAGAATAAATTAGGATTTTTGTATATAAAATATACAACTTCTTCGGCGGTGTTCCTTCTCTCATGTTGCCATGGGTCTTTCTCTCTTCCACCGCCGCTCGTGTGTGTGAAAAAGGGAGAATTTTTACTGCTTTATAGCTTTATTGGACGGTTTTCTGTTTCTGAGAAATCCTCGTCACAGGAATTTGGAAGTCATTTCTCCACTATACATTCACCTTTCCCGTTCCTTTACCTCCACCATTTCTGGTGTTCTTTTCCCGCGCATTCTCACTTTTCTGGCCTCTTTATTTGTATTATTTATGTGCTGTATATGACATTTTATTGCGAGATTGAAGTGACTTCTCACTCGACTTTCTGCCGGTAATCTCTGGGTGTGAGAGTGAAGGAAATATAAATGTGAACTGTCAGCAATGTGTATGAATGTATAAACGAGGATTATTGATATCGATAAAAAGAATTATCAGGAAAAAAGAGGGCGGGAGAATGAGTTTAATAAATATTGATAATTTTTTCGATATATATAATAAAAAAAAACACTCAAAGATTATGAATTTATCAAAATAAACATATTCGGTGGGCAACAGTTATAAGCAAATTGTTTCTGTTCAAAAAACACAAATAAATTTTTAAAATATACGTTTTTCTGTTTATGATAAAATGACGAAACAGAAACAGAAAGTCTTTCTCTCAACGCTAAGAATCTTGAACTCTATATTGGGCTTTTGAAAAAGTAGATTGTATTATCAGTGTTTGGCTAGAGATAATTTGGGTTTTTTGATTGGGAAACTGGAACAATTTCAGTCACTAAGAAACCCCATGAGTCATAGATTACAATAATTTAATTACTTTTATGCCTAAATTCACACTGACTTATGAAATGAAATTTTAATGAGTTATTCTTAACCCCAATTAAGTATTTTTATATTGTTGTGGATTTTAATTCTCGGAAATAATCTTTCTTTTCATGATACCACATATAATATAGTGTTTACTTTCTCATTTCTTCTTCGGTTCCTTCTTGCCTTGCTCTTGTGTCTTTTATTTCCCAGTGTGTCAAAACGGCGTTGATTGCGAAGCAGGAAATGCTCCTGAAGGAAATGATAGAAATTATTTTCTCTTCAAATTGACCACATTGAAATTGGCAATTGTGATATTTAAGTGTGCTTTAATAGTCATACAAAAATTTTGCGGCGGTTCTTCAAATCGTTAAAAACGTGAAAAAAAGGAGGCGCGTATAATGATTTTATTGCATTAAATTTCACACTAAAATAAAGGAATTATCTTCATGCGAGATAAAAATAAAACACTAACACGTGATTCTCTCTCTTTACCTTAGAAGTGTTTTTTTTTCTCCATTCTATTTTACTCGTTACTATGTTATTGCATCTCAAACAATTCATTATTTAGCTAATGTTGCGTGTGAGTTACTTAATTGAATTCTTTTCATCATCTCTCTAATAGCCAATCTCAACCATCTTTTTTTTCTCTCTCAATTCTGTTTGATTGCAGAGAAGTTAAGAAGAAGCAAGAAACTGCGAAAGGAGGAAGAGAAGAGTGCGATCATCAATTTAGAGGTGAAGTAGTGCAAATAAGACGAACATTTCAAAGAATTTCAGACAAGTGAGAGTGAAGGAAGAAGTGAAAAATGGCAAACTTGTCAAGCTTGCTTTGGGAGCAGACTGTAAAATTACCTCCAGAAGTGATGATGACCATCAAGCAGCACTACAATGAGGTGATGCCGATTGAAATACGTCATTTCTTAGCGCAATGGCTCGAGGAGCATATTTTGTGAGTATAATTATAGTTTTTACGATGTTGTGAATCGACATGATTTGTTATAGAATCTATAGAATGTAGATTCTAGAACTACACACCACACATTCATTATCAACGCGTATTTTCCGTTCTATTCTCACGACAAGGTGACGTAAAATATGCAATAAATGGAGGCATAAGAGAATATATTTAGATATTATACAGAAAGTTGTAGAACAACCGTCTTAATGGAATACGATACTTAATGTTTGGTTAATTGAATATTATGTTGCGAAAATATTCTTCTCTGTATAAATATGGGAAGAAATTTTCATATTTATGTAAATTCAAATAGATAGAAATTTTAGCAAAATTTTATTAAGTTTATTAAAATGAAGTGAATGCGTCAGTGTTTTTACCACTCTTTATTTTCAAATATTCTGTTGATGATTCTCATTTCGATGTTGATAATCAAAGGTGAAATCAGTCATATAATAATTAAGGTAATTGCATTAGAAACAAACTTTCACTAATATAGAAATATTGATTTTAAGAAGGCATTGAATTAAAGTTCATTCAACTTGTGAGCTTTTATCTAAATTTTGTGTTTAAAAAATTTGAGTAATATTGCTCAAATAACTCGTGACATTAAAATGCTTGGGATAATATAATAAATTCAGATTTAACTGGTTTTTCTTTTTGTTTATAAAACGTAAAAATTACATAAAACGAAATCTGCAATTTATCTTTTTCTCTGTTTGAATTTCATTCACAATTCCATTTTACTACAAAGTTTTTACCAGTAAATAAATTGCGTTGTGCATGTTTTTGTATGGGATTTTAAGTGTCCAGAAAGTGGTATTCAATAGAAGTCTGACGAAGAAGTAATCAGAATGTGAACAATGAGTGCAATCTTGCTGTAATTGCACCATGAAATGATTTATTTGTGTAATAGACATTTCATTAGCAGGATAAGTGGTTGTAAAATAGATTAGCGTGAGAATGGAAAAATTTTCACTGAATTTGATCGTTTGTACATCAATCTATCTACATATATGTAATGTGGTGTGATGTGAAATTCTCGGAAATCAAGAGAGGCTTCAGAGAGCACAAGTTTAATTGCTATTGCGATAAGGAGTTTACTGTGTGCCAATATTGAAATGATTTTGTGTTAATTTGTAGGCCATCGATGAATCTGCAGATGGAATACGATCCTCAGCAATATGAGCACATTGCATCGACTTTCCTGAGCGACTTCATCCATGAATTGGAGACGCGTGCACCTGATTTCACTGGGACAAATGTGACGGTGCAATTGTGCTTCACGGAGATGGCGAAGAAGCTGCGACAGCGCTATCAGCACGATCCGCTGCAATTGTTCAATCACTTGACGCGGTGTCTGCAGATGGAGTGGAGTTATGTGAATAATTGTGCGATGCCATATCAGAACGCCGAGATTGTGGAGGTGAACGAGAAATTGCACATCCTCACCTCAATGGTGGCGGCAAATGAGGAGGAGAACAGACAACTGAAGCTGGATTATGAGCGATTCTCGCTGGAGTATCATGACTTGTTTAAGACCACGGCGTACGTGAAGACGCTCACTAATCCGCAAGAGGCGGAGCAGAGCAAGGCGCAGCTGAATGAGCAGCAGAAGCGCTTGCAAGACTTCCTCAATACCATCCAGAATCGCTTGCTGACGCTCATTGGAAAGATCAAGGAGGTGATAGACCAGTTGCAACAAGCTCACGAGCTGATTATGGTGAAGCAGTTGAGGCTGTGGAAGGCAAATCAAGGATTAGCTGGCAATGGAGCGCCGCTGAATAACAATCTTGACACCATTCAGCAGTGGTGCGAGACGTTGGCGGACAATTTGTGGAATACGAAGACGCAGATTTCGATCCTCCTCAAGACCAGACAGACCGTGCAGAATGATCCCAACTTGCCGGATTTGCTTGAGCCGTCTAGAAAAGAGATTATCAATTTGCTCGTGAAGCTCGTAACAGCTAGTTTTGTCATTGAGAAGCAACCACCGCAAGTGATGAAAACTAACACTAGATTCACTGCGACAGTGCGACTCCTTGTTGGACCAAAGCTCAATATTCAGATGAACAGCCCAAGTGTGAGGGTGTCAATTGTGTCAGGTGAGTCGAAAGATGAATTTCAGCAATTCCGCAATATCAATGGCACTATAAGAGATTCCTTTGGCTTTTGTTGTTCAACATTTCTGCACACTGGAGAATATATGTATTTGAAATTTTGCACACAAAGATATCGCATTTATTGCTGTATGTTTGCCTGCCCGTGTGCCTGGATAAATATTGCCTTGCGCAATGAAATGCAATATAATTTTTTATCTCAAATTTATCAAACACTCACTGCAAACAGTGATAAGACAAAGGCTCTGTGAATGCAGATTTTGTGAGATTGATAACATGCAAAGTGCATTTTGCAGGAACTTTCAAGAGAATAATAGCAGATGCATTGAAATAACGTGACATGATATAGCCAGTAGAGAATGATGATTTAATAAAGGGATTGGGTTTCATATGAATGGAAAATTGGGGATTTCCCCTTATACAGACTGATAAGGAAACGTTTTTTTATCGCATAATATGATAACGCAATTTATAAGACATTTTCGATTATTAAAAGGTCTATTTGATCTCTTGTCTGTAATTTGTCGGTGAAATACATTTTTTCTGTAAACCAATATTTAAGTGGGGGAAGTTTTTTTTGTGGAGAAATTTGATACGACGCGATACCTTTTTCGTCAATATGCCGTGTCCTCTTAAAGTTCTTAAAGTGGATGATGTGATATTTTATCAAGCCATTGCGATGATGTTTTTGTAAACAGTGTTGTGTAATATCAATTTGTAGAATTTTCTGTGAGACAGAAAATGAAATTCGCAGCATTATTTTTATGTGCCAAGGCTGAGAAAATCCTCTTCCCCGTACAATACATCTTCATTGAATATAATTTGAATGATGTTTCTCTCTCTCTCCCTTGTGCTTTATTCCCCGAAAAAAGCACATATAATTTAATATGAAGTTATCAAAACATTGTATTTGTTTTTACTTTTTGCCTGGCCACATATTTGTTCTGTCATAGAGACATTTGTTTAACATTCTTCTCTGTTTCTTCTTCATTTTCTGTTTTGTGTCTAGAATCCCAGGCGCAGCATGTTCAGCAGTCAAATCAATACTCAGAAGCACTCGCTTCGGGTGAGATTCTCAACAATAGTGGCACTTTGGAGTATCAACAGGCGACAAATCAGGTGTCTGTGAGCTTTCGCAATATGCAACTGAAGAAGATCAAGAGGGCGGAGAAGAAAGGCACCGAAAGTGTGATGGATGAGAAATTTGCCCTGCTGTTTCAATCTAAATTCCAGATTGGAAGCGGTGAGCTGGTCATCACGGCGTGGGCTCTATCGCTGCCTGTGGTTGTGATTGTCCATGGGAATCAGGAGCCACAGAGTTGGGCGACCATCACATGGGACAATGCCTTTGCCGATCCCATGCGCATACCTTTTCAGGTGCCGGACAAAGTGCCATGGCCACGCTTGGCCGATGCGCTCAATATGAAGTTCAAAGCTGCCACTGGACGCCTGCTGTCTGAGGGGAATTTGCAATTTCTGTGCGAGAAAGCCTTCCGGCACACGACACCAAACACCCTCAATCAGAATGAGATGTACATCTCATGGGCGCAATTCTGCAAGGAGCCTCTGCCAGACAGAACATACACATTCTGGGAATGGTTCTACGCCGTGATGAAGCTGACGCGAGAGCATTTGCGTAATCCATGGCAAGATGGCCTCATAATTGGATTTATTCACAAGAAGCAGGCCGAGGATATGCTGATGAAGTGTCCGATTGGCACATTTTTGCTCAGATTCTCCGACAGTGAACTGGGTGAGTGAGGAATGAGTTTGCATCTCTGAAGAATGTGTGTGTAATTTGTGTGGGTAAATATTTACATTAAATAATCACTGTTGTTGCATTTACAGGAGGCGTCACTATTGCTTGGGTTGGCGATGGGAGTGACCAGCAACCGCAAATATTCATGCTTCAGCCATTCTTGGCCAAAGATTTTGCCATCCGCTCCCTTCCTGATCACATTGCTGATCTGCAGCAACTTGTCTCGCTGTATCCAGAAACACCGAAGGAGAAGGCATTTGGCAAATATTTCACCGCTTTTCCCAGTGAGTATAAAACAGTATTTGCGTGGGAAAATGAAATTGATAACTTCCTTTCAAACAACTTGTCATTTTCTGATATGATTTGTGTTTGTCCTTCACTTTATTTGTTGTCAATATTGCACGAGCCAGTGTGACTGCCCAAATAATACTTCCTCTATGCTTCATCATCCCTTCATCCTGCATGATTTATTTGTGAAACGGAAGTAGTTTTATGAGTCACTCTGGTTGAGTCAAAATTAAACATTAATTTATTAACTTTAAGTGTAGTTGAAATTTAATTTAAAATTCAGGAGTTCACTCAAAATAGGATTATTTGCACATCTACACTCTGAAATGTTTCAAATTACTTTTATGAGAAAAGTTTTACCTGTCGTAGAGCAGTGAAAACTAATGATTAAATGTCCATTGCAGGCCAAGCGAACAATGGATATGTGGTGCGGCGACTGGTGACGCAGGTTCCTGGAGTGCCCATGGGAAGCTATCCAAACACACCGAGTCACAGCATGAGCATACAATCGCCAGATCACACGAGGGATACGCCGTCAATCTCGAGCAGGTACTTGACTCTAGTCCAAATATTAACTTATTTGTTCTGATTTTGTGATTTAATTGAGTTTAACTTAACATACACACACAGTATCGCACAGCTGCTTCTGTCCACACAAATAACTCCATCTATTTACCATTTCATTCATTCATTTCTCATTTCATTGAAGGTTTTTCTTGAAAAAAAAATACCACCACAAAAAGTCACACACAAATTTTTCCCATTGAGTCTTTATTTTTAGTTATTGATACAAATTCAAGACAATCCTTTTAGGCTGTGATGATGAATTGAATAGATTCAATTTCTTGTTCCATATGTTAAAAATTTGTTTTTTTTTTAACCTACAACATTAGATGCTCATTAATTCATTTATGAAACTAATCCTATTTCCAGCTATGCGGGAAGTACATTAATGCAACTCTAAATCAATGCATAATATCTTAAAATTCATTAACCACGGTTTGAATGATGGATATATGTACTAACTAGATAGTCGCATTGGCAAAACAAAAAAAACACATTCATCTGTAAGAAAAAAATATTTATGGTAAAAGAGACCTTTGCAAATGCTTACACGGATTATGTGAAGAGCATAAGAATCCGCAAGTATTAATCATTGAATGATTCACTTTTCTCTGGGAAAATATCCCATGAATTGATGAGTGTATGTAGAAAATGTCAGACAGTTGTTTTAACAATTAAAAGTAACAATTTAAGAGCAGAGAATGGGAAACGATTGTTCGATGTATGTGTTGAGTGTCTTCTCTGTCAGTATTACTTTGACTAGACATATTATAGAGAGAGAAAATACAGGATTTTCCATATAGTGAATGTTAATTGTGATGTTTCTACATCTCTTACTAATCTTTGAGTGAAAAATTTCAAGTATTTTATTGGCATCGAAATTTGAAAGACGTTTTTAACTTGAAATGTGATGCTATGCAGAAAATGTTATCGTGATTTAAGCATGTTAATATATTCGACTGAGTTCTTTTCTTTTTAAGTATCTATTTTAAAGAAAAGATAAATATAATTGTGGGTTATTGAACTTTGTTTTTATGGCTGTTCAAAGTAAATGTGACGCTGTGTTTATTTTGGAATTGTATTTCAATTTTTATTATTATACGTTGTTATTTGAAATTTTCATAAATGGCCGTGATATAATGATAACGAATTAGATAATTAAATATAAAATATCGTGTTAATGTCGAGGAGAGAAGGAGAAGTGTTTTAATTGCTTTTCTATTTCTTTAAATAATTACAACGAGAAACTCACGACTTTTGTCGTAGTGTTTTGAGGCCCAAAATCATGGTTTCATAGGTGAAAAAAAAGATAAATATATTATATGAAATATATATATATATTTAAAAGACATATAAAATGTTAATTGTCGTTTTTCGAGAATATTGTCTTCTTTTTGAAGACTTGTCGTCTAATGAGTGTGTTTGCTCTAGAGGAAAACCAAAAGATAAAAAAAAATCATCTCGATGATTAATACTAATTTAAACGAAATATATATATGAATATGATATTTAACACGAATGTGTTGAGTGTTATCAATTATATGATAAATGTGTCGTTAATTGAAATACTAAAGTGTACATTACTTCTTATCTCTCTAATTTACTGTGTTTCTCCGCCTAATTTACACTCACTATTATCATTATCCATTATGAACAATCACTTTGCTTCAGATTAATAGAAAAAAAAAACTTCTCATCCAAAAGTCTTCAATGAGGGCCGTTGCTTTATAAAGTTACAAAAATTTTGTAGTCTCAAATGCATCACTAAATTGTGTGTATTTCTGAACTTCATCTCTGCATTTGCTTTAAAGTACGAATTTTGCTCAAACTAACGAATTTATTACCAGACATTCGAGACTGACTATATTGTATTGAAGAGAATATATTTTATATACATATCTATCCAGTGAATTTTGACCGATTTTTTTTCACCTTCTTGTGCTTTTTGTGAATGTTTTTGGGGTGCATGGATGCATTTTTGTATTTCGTATGATGTTTTGTTTACCTTCCACAACTAACCCTTGGATTTATTTTCACCTCTTTTTCACGATATTTTGGCTTTTAGATGAATTTAGTGGGATTGGCAGCATACATCTGATAGAAAAACCAAAATGATTGACATGAAAAGTTCTCATAAACCAAAAAAAAATACATCAAATGGCGGCAGGTTTAATTAAATTCACAAAGCATGATCGCACAAGAATGAAATTGTTGTAGCGACAAAGTATAATGGGTGAAATCACACATCATTTAGTTAATCATATTTGTGCTGCTGATCTCCAATTGTTCTTGTTTTGGTTTTTAGTCTTGTTGCATTGACGCTCTTGTCATTCTGCTTTGAATTTATCGGTATGAAATTTGTGGACATATTATAGACTAATATTTACATTGTGTGTACTATTTGTATGAAAGAGTTTGTAGACACTGTATTTTTAAAGTAAATTATACACCCAGTATTTAAATAGTAATTGTTGAATATACACATGTAATTATGGTGATCTTGTTACATGACGAAGAGAATACATTGAAAAAAAGTATTAATAATAATAGCACACAAAATATAATCAATGGCTACAAGTATACCTATAAGGCTAATACATGAAATATCTTAGATAGTGTTGATGTGTGAAATTAATTAAACCTCCCTGTTTGTTGACTCTTCATTCAATTCTCAAGCTATGGACAACCTGGAAATGCACTTCCCAGTGAATTTGGTATGATGTTAGATGACTTCGACGATTTGGGTGGAATGTTTCCCACGAATTACCAAAATCAACAAAATTAGGACGTTGTAAGTGTCACGAGAGGAGCATCTCTTATTTACGGACAAGAGAATCTTTTACATTATTCGATTTTTAAGAGGAAAAGAAACTTATGAAGGAGTAAATGTTATTACTTTAAAAGTGTCTGGAGGAGAGAATACGGAGCAGTAAAATGTGTTTTTATTTTCTTTGAATTTGTAACAGCAAAATAAGAGAGTTGGAAGAACTCTCGGATTTTACAGAATAAAAGAAAAATTGAAAAGTAACGAAGAAGAGAAGAATTTGTATTTTTTAGTTAGTGTGAAATAATGATTTGACAAAGAATCCGTGCTTCATAATAACAATTTTTATTTTGATGTGTCGTTTTTTGAATAAAACTACTTTCACTAATGAAAAAAAAATATTGAAATATAAATTAATAATATAGATTTAAAGATAAAAACTTAAAGGTGATACTGAGGTAATGATTGTATTTTAAATAAATATTTTTATCTACATTGTAAGAAATTAATAATGAATAAGAGTCGCATAAGATTAGCTGTCTCACTGTTACATTACAATAATACATTGTGTAAAACGAAGCGTTTAGAGAAAAAAAGAGCATACGTTAATCAATTTTCTTCTATCAATTTAAATCTGCACACCTTATTTTACTACCTAAAATGTTTAACGGCATAGTATAAATTTTCTGAGACTTCTGGAGAACCCCAAATTTTTTGGATCGACACTACACTGTGAAGAAATATATTCTATATAAAAATCTAATTTTTTAGATGAATATTAGATTATAATATTTACATAAGATCAGATTTTACATCATGTATACATATATTTACAGATAAAAATTATCATAGAAGGAGAGTTTTCGATCGATTTCGTCCATTTTTATAAAACTGTAACTTGTCAGTTTTAACTATAGTAAGATGTCAGTACCTTAAATATGAGAGAAATATCGTTTTTTTTTTGTAAATAAATTTCTTTTTTATTTCAGCCAGAAATTCTGTAATTTTTGTATTGACTGCAATCTTACAATATCTTGATGAAAAGATTTTTATAATTGCAAATCATGTGTTTTTTTTTATTTCAAATTTAAAACCACGAATTAGTGCAATTACAATTTAATTTGTTGAGAACATCAAAAATGATTTAGAGATTTTCAATGAGATTTGTGTATTAATTTTCAATGGACGATAAAATCAAGAAGAAGAATTTCGGTGTATATTGAAAAGATAGAGAGAAAAAAATGGAATTTGACGAAGTATTTACATACATGTGAGTGCCTCTGTGCTTTAATATCAATTGTGAGTGGATGGAAGAAATTTAAGAAATGTCGATATTCGAAGAAAATCTTTATGTGCTATTTCAATTTACTGTTGGCATCTTAACTCGGAGAATTTTTTAAGTATCACCAAGTATTCGGTAGTTGTTGCAAAACTGCTCAAATTGTGAAAAAGAACATCAGTAAATACCGACTTATATTAAAAAAAAAAACTAATATGACATAAACTGTATATCTATGCATGATTCATGTGAGTTTCTTCTGTCTGTTATCTCAGCGAATGAACCAAAAATATGTATTGAAGTTGTTGTAATGCTATAGCCTTTCCTCCACCCCAAAGTCAAAGAAGAACAACATTTCAAGATTCAACTAAGTGTGGTAGAAATTGATGTGTATTTTGCAAATGCATGAAGTGTTTTTAGTATTGACGTTGTTATCTCGATTCAAGAAGATCACTTACAATGTCGCAACGAATGATTTGACAAGTCAAGATAGAATAATTTTCTGTGCGAGAGATTTTCTAAAGTGAAAGTAAATTTGAAGGCCATTTTATTCAGTGTCTTTTTATGAGTGCCATAGAGTAGGCGACGCAGAATTGTGAAGGAAATAATGTGAATTGATTGTAGATGTTTCTTATAATGGATGCGAAGAAGAAGAAAAAAACAATGATTGGCGCTGTCTATGTACTTTGTATAGAAACATTACAGAACTAAAAATAGGTAAAAAAAAGTCATAATACCTAAACTTAATAAGTGAACCAAGATACTAAAGCTGTTGTGAAACTTTCCTAATACATAGATATATTTTCTCTTAACTCTTCTTATCACAGATAAATAAATAGAAAAGGAAATATTTAAGAAGGATTTTGAAAAGATTCACCCAATGTAAGAACAAAGATATCTAAATTTCTTGTCAATTGATTCAGAGACAGCAAATTAATGGAGAAAAAAGAAATTCCGTCTTAAATACTTGTGAAGAATATTTAATGCAAGTTGAAATACACTATTCGGTGCTTAATTAGTGGCAATTCATTTGCGTTTATTGCATTTAAAATTGTGTTATGTCATTTTTTAACTAATTGATAAATAATTTCTTGCACATAAATCACATATTTTTTTTAATAGTTTTATAAGAATTACTTCTTTTTCTCTTTGTGAGTACAAGAATTATGTTGATTTGGATAATTTTAAATATCTTTTATATACAAAAAAATACAAATATCTTTAATTTAGCGTTTAGGAAGAAAGAAACATTTTTTAAATATGCAATTTTGATTTAGTTTTATACACTTTGTACAATTAGATTTGACAAAAAAAATTCTTGGATATTTGTTTGCGAGTAAATTTACGTTTTATATTTTATTTTACAAATGTTTATGTTTTTTTTTCGTCTTCAACCCTTAATAGTGCAGAAAGTACATAATTGTACCTATAATTAAGTGTAAAGCTGTAAGATTGATAAACAATCGATTACACAGAAATGAGAATAATTTTGCATGGAACCAGAAATATATTTACTTGTAAACGTGTAATTTAATGATGAGAAATATAAATTGAAATTGTGAATGATAGTGTTTATTATCTTCTGCAGAATCTTTAGCAACTTCTAGGAAATCCGAAAACAGTAAATAATAACAACGCACTGGACTTTGTGACTCCATGCGGTTTCATACATAATTTCAGTTTGTGCAATTTGTTTTCTTTTTCCAGACAAATCAGTTGTCTCCGCTAAGAGCGATTACAGACTTGCTGATGATCCACGGGAGGATAAGCGAGAGCGCGATCAACCACGAATTATCGCTGATCTGACCTTTACACACTACAGGCTCATCCACGGAGGATTTATCCGAGTTCGCGCCGATTCGATGATAAGCAGCAAGTCTGTAATCGCTCTAATGCAGTTTTGAAAACATTTTGCCTCAATAGGGGATCATCACGGGATTTTGCACTTGTTTATTTCGTGATTTTACATTTTTTAGCGAAAGTGGTAGTTCATATTTCCACTATTATTATTATTGCTCAGGAGTTCATTTAACTTCCACAGAATGCCCTTTAATAGAGGAGTTTTTATTGCGCCGATGATAAGATTTATCAATCGGCGAAACGCAACGGAACGGTCACCTTTATCAAATCTCATTTTCCTCGGGCAGCATTCATCAGTTCGCGCTCACTCGTTGGTAAATTCAGATGTGCTGAAGCTCTTCGCGTCCACGCAATGTCTCTCGAAGCGATTGACAGCAAATTGGCGGAGCTGCGAAGCACTCTTGAGAACAACTCGCGGCTTCTGCCTGATCTTGTGCCGCACTGGAGCGACGCTCCAGACATCATCGACGATCTCGTGCGCACGCTGTTTTGCCAGGCGCGAGCCTGGCTCGAGGAGCTCCACCGCGGAAGCCAGGACATTTTCCAGGCCATCCAGTGCGTCTTGGACGCCTTTGTGGACTTCCAGCGAGATCGCGTCGTGCAAGTGCCGAATTTGAGAGAATTGCAGCGAGTTTGTGAGACTTTCTTCCAGTATCTCAAGGACATCAGCGAGCAGTTTTTGTTCGTCCACACAAATCGCATCACGGGGCTGATTTGCGCCTTGTCCAACACCGAAGAGGCCGTTTTCAGTGCCTGGTGGAATAGTGTGATCGCGACGACGCAACAGTTCATAAGATGCACACTTATTTACGAGGAACAGCCGGGGCCCATCATAAGGAAAGAGAGGATTTTCGAGGGCAAAGTGAGATGGCTCATCGGCTCGCAGCTTGATTTCAACGTGGTAGATGGACTCAATGGACGAGTATCAATTCTTCATGGTTCGTTATGCTTTTACATTTAATTTACATTATTAAATGCTCCTTATAAAGAGTTTAAACTAAAAGTATTTCCTAAAATTTGTTGTACTCGAATCTTCTTCATTTCATAAACCCAGTTGTTTTCATTAACATTCATCTCTTCTTATAATCACTCCTTATCGATCTTTTCCAAGGAACTCTCTTTGTTTTTGCATTGTACGAGTGGGATTATATCGGAGAATTATATTCCAGTGTAGCTTACAGATAATAATCTCCTGTGCAGATTGACTGTCGCTCATTTCAAATTTTCTTCTCCTCATAAGAGACTTTCATAAGAGAATTATATAATCTAAATTGTAGACACAAGTTTAACTTATCAACAAATTCTAAAGGAATGATTTTTAAAATTTTTATTTTATGATAACTGGGAAAATATAATTTTTCTAATATTATTGACACGAATACTTTTTTCTAGAGCACGAAACGAACAAATTGATGGAAGGAAAATTCGTTGATCATCAAGATAAATTTTCCGTTCAGAAAAACGAAGTGGTGTTCGAAGTGAATCCAAACATGGAAGTTTATGCGAAATTTAGCAAGTGCAAAATTATGTCAATCAGCAGAAATACTGGCAGAAATATCGATAAGAAAATTGATGAGAAATACGCCGTTGTGTTCCGCACAAACATTGTGTGGAATGGCCAGGAACTTGAGATTTCTGTCATTTCTCTTCCAATTTGCCTAACAACGCACATGACGCAGGATGAATATTGCTACGCAAAGATTATGTGGGATTATGCGTTCGCTGACAAGAACAGATCTGCTTTTGTGGTTAGAAATGCTAGAGGATCTTTATTGATTTATGATTAACTGTATTGAAATGCTTTCTCAGGTGCCCGAAGAAGTCTGTTGGATTGATTTTGCAAATGCGCTCAGCAGAATGTGGACATCTTGGGTTGGATGTCCTTTGAATGATCAACACTTAGCTTACCTCTGTAAGGAATAAGTGTCCAATCGTAAGTTCAAAAGTCACTGAGCTTCTCATTCCAGATGATATTGCGTTCGATGAGCTTTGGTATGGAAATGTGATTAAAACGCGGCCTGTTTCATGGAACCAAATTACTAAGAGTTATCTTAAGGGAATGAATTTCACGTTCTGGTCATGGTTCTACAACAACATGAAGCTGATTAAGGACAAATATGGAGATCACTGGCAAAATAATCACATTTATGGATTTATTCACAGAGAACACGCTCACGCTCTATTGAAATCCTTGCCAATCGGCACTTTTCTCTTGCGCTTTTCCAAGTCAATGATCGGAAACATGTCCATTGATGTCGTGTTGGCAAATTCACAAGTGTCTTCGTGTGGACCTTTTGACAGTTCCAGTTTCGAAACATCCTTGAATTCATCATTGACAACATTTAATGGATTCATAAGGAACTTTGTAAATTTGAAATTCTTGCATCCAAACATACCGAAGAATATTGCTTTTCCAACACAGAATGATGTTACCCCTCCTCAAGGATACGTTCCATTACGACCCAAAATAATTATTGAACTGTAGACTCTGAAGATTTCATGCTTATAAGCTTTATGATTTGACTTTGGGCTTTTAAAATTTCTAGAGATTAGCAAAAGCTGTGCAACTTTATAGCATATGTAGTATAATTAAGTGATTGATGTTATCTGTAATATAATTTTGAATAAACTTTATGAGGTCAAATATTTTTCCTTTCAGATAATTGTTCGCTTGCAGCTAAACTGGATTCATTTTCGGTTATCTGTTGATTTAACTCTCAAGATTGACAAGGAATTTAAGAAAATATCGCGCACATTGAAATTAAAAACGAACAGATACGGAAACGCCTTCACATGAATTAAGAAAGAAACGTGGGGAAAAGAACGTTTTTTCTTAGAACCCACTTTTGATGCTCAATAACGTTCCATATTTATCTTATCAAACGGATAAAGCGCCAAAAAGCCATCGATTACCTCAATACAAAAATCCAGCTTTCTTAGAAAAACTGATAATGCAGACATCACTCTGTTATAATCTTTGCAATGAGAGGAAGTGTGGATTACCACTCAAAGAAAAATCACCAATATTTCTGGTTCTGAGAAAATTCTATACATGTCAAGGACAATTTCCTTCAAAGACAATACAAATGTTTAAATGTCTAGAGATCAAGACATGAAATATTTATTATACAAAATTTTTTTGGCTAAACTAAGAAAGAGAAGATTATTTCCATGTTCAGAGTGAAAAAGAATTCTTTACGTGATAAAATTCTTCTATCTTTCCGAAAAATCTAAAAATAGTTTAATCACACACACACACACACACACTGCAAATGCAAAACACATATAATGATAAGATTTAATATTTGGCGAAGCGCGACACACGAATAATTTCTCTGGATTTCCGCGTTCAGTTCGCGCTCACTCGTTGGTCAATTCAGATGTGCTGAAGCTCTTCTCGTCCACGCAATGTCTCTCGAAGCGATTGACAGCAAATTGGCGGAGCTGCGAAGCACTCTTGAGAACAACTCGCGGCTTCTGCCTGATCTTGTGCCGCACTGGAGCGACGCTCCCGACATCATCGACGATCTCGTGCGCACGCTGTTCTGCCAGGCGCGAGCCTGGCTCGAGGAGCTCCACCGCGGAAGCCAGGACATTTTCCAGGCCATCCAGTGCGTCTTGGACGCCTTTGTGGACTTCCAGCGAGATCGCGTCGTGCAAGTGCCGAATTTGAGAGATTTGCAGCGAGTTTGTGAGACTTTCTTCCAGTGTCTCAAGGACATCAGCGAGCAGTTTCTGTTCGTCCACACCAATCGCATCACGGGGCTGATTTGCGCCTTGTCCAACACCGAAGAGGCCGTTTTCAGTGACTGGTGGAATAGTGTGATCGCGACGACGCAACAGTTCATAAGATGCACACTTATTTACGAGGAACAGCCGGGGCCCATCATAATGAATGGGAGGATTATTAAGGGCAAAGTGAGATGGCTCATCGGCTCGCAACTCGACGAAAAGATCAAGGAACTCAAAGGACAAATATCAGTTCTTCATGGTTCGTATGAATATTTATATTCTCTTGAAAATATGCTTTCAAGAGAACAATTATTACAGAAGAACATATAAACAGCATGATGCAAGGAATACACATCGATCATCAAGGCACCTTTTCACTTGTGAATAGCGAAGTGAATTTTGAAGTGAATCAAGAAGTTTATGCCAAATTCAACAATTGTAAAATTAAAACTTTCAGAAGAAACTTTTCCATAAGAGAAAATACAAATTTAACTGATGAAAAGTTCGCCGTTGTGTTTCGCACAAACATTGTGTGGAATGATAAGGAACTTGAGGTTTCGGTAATTTCACTTCCCGTTTGCCGAGCAATTCACGGTGGACAGGCTCCATATTGCGACGGAAGGATTATGTGGGATTATGCGTTCGCTGACAAGAACAGATCTGCTTTTGTGGTTAGAAATGCTTGAGGATCTTTATTGATTTATGATTAACTACATTGAAATGCTTTTTCAGGTTCCCGAAGAAGTCTGTTGGATCGATTTTGCAAATGCGCTCAGCAGAATGTGGACATCTTGGGTTGGATGTCCTTTGAATGATCAACACTTAGCTTATTTCTGTAAGAAAGTCATATGAATGTATTATGAGAAAAGTTTCTTTGAGCTTCTCATTCCAGATGACATTATATTTGATGAGCGTTCGAATGGAGATGTGATTGAAACGCGGCCTGTTTCATGGAAACAAATCACCAGGAGTTGTCTTAAGGGAACGAGTTTCGAATTTTGGTTCTGGTTTTACCGCACCATGAGTGTGACTAAGAATCATTTCAGAAGTCACTGGCAAAATGATTATGTTTATGGATTTATTCACGAAGACTTCGCTCACGCTCTATTGGAATCCTTGCCAATCGGCACTTTTCTCTTGCGCTTTCCCAATTCAGCGTGCGGAATGATTTTAATTGATGTCGTATTGGAAAATTCACAAGTGTCCTCATTGGGACCATTTTACAATTTTTTTCCGTCTTTTGATGAATTCATCAATAGTTTCGCGGATTTGAAGTTCTTATTTCCAAACATTCCGAAAACCATTGCATTTCCAACGTCAGCATTGAATGATACAAAATAATTCTTGAACACTACAAAATGTAGAAATTTTCCCAAATATTGTCAAAAATCTAGATTAAGAAAATTTTACTGAACTGTTTATTAATGTGCAAAAATATTCTCTGTTATCTTATCAACATGCTGAAGCGAAAACAAATAAACACTTTCCCAGAAAAACTTGATATCACTTTCTTTGCTGTGTGAACATTTGGCGAAAATATGATCTATGCGTTAAAAGAAATTCACATTTTCTACCGCAAATTGTATCAAAAAGATCAGCAATGATTTTATTTCATGCTATAGCAAGATGACTTGTAGTCAGAACAGAATAACTTAATAAATTGAACTAAACGTCGAAGCTGAGGAATGCTCACTGAATGCAGCAATGCGACTGAGTGTTGGCGTTTTGACTCTCACTACTCTCCTGCATGTTCTGGGCAGAAAGCAGAGACTTCAGGCTCTCCGCCTCCCTCATCCACGTCTGAATCTGCTGATGCAGCAGATCTCGGCGCTGTCCCTTCGGCTCCTGGCCCAAGAGTGGCACTAGGCCGCCCAAGGAGCTCTTCAGTCCCTCCAGAGCAGCCTTATAATTACCCTCGTGCACGTAAAGTTCCCCCTGGCGCCCGATCTCGAGGCTGTTCTTGAGCGCCGGACTAGAGTGACTCAGAGAGTAGAGTTGCTGGTACACCAAGCGCGGTGTGAGTGCATTTTGGACGGGATTCTGAACCGAAGTCTTCTCGCCGCTCAAGGCGTGCTGTATCTCCTCAGCTCGCTGCATGTAAGTCCGCACTCGACCGCGCAGAGCTTGCTTCTTGGCCACATCCTGCTCTGCTTGGATGTACGGCACGAAGAACTGGAGGCTCTCGCAGTAGAGATGGTAAGCCTGGTCCAACTCACCGCGATTGTCCGCTTCCACGGCCTCCCGGACAATCTCAAGGGCACGCTGGAAATTCTCCTCGCAAGGTGCATGTCTCAGGTCAAGGAAGTCGTGCTGGAAGAAGTCCTTGAAGTCTATTCTCTTGTCCCGATCGTGCTGCAGCAAGCGTGAGAGGAGATCCTCACATTCCGGCGATATCCGTGTGTTCCGCGGAATGTCAATTCGCTGCAACTTCTGGATCTTCTCTAGCAACTCTGGGAGGGATTTTGAACTGTACGGAGCCTTCCCGAAGAGACACTCATAGAGAATCACACCAATGCTCCACAGATCTGCTTTGCAGTCGTAACAGTTTCGCAGGAGAATCTCTGGGGCCATGTACAGTGGGGAACCCCTGATGGTGGTGTTTTCCTGACCCAGCTCGATGTGCTGGGCGAAGCCAAAGTCCGCTACTTTGAGGACTACTTGGGGTGTTTTCGTCAGCAGAAGATTCTGCGGTTTCAAGTCGAAGTGACTCACATTGTTGGACCTCATGTACTCCAGTGCCAGCGCCAGCTGTCTCAAGAAGAACCGACACGTCGTCTCTGGAAGCACATTTCGCCTCTTTATGAAAGCCGATAAACTCCCGGAATTGCAGTACTCCATCACAATGTAGATGTTCTTGTCATCGTACAGGAAGTCGTGCATCTCCACGATGTGCCGATGCTTCAGCCTCTTCAGCAGTCTTATCTCTGTGACGATGTTGTCCACTGAGGATTTGGTCAGTTGCTTCTTCTCCACGCATTTCACAGCCAGGATCTCTTTCGTATCCTAGAAAACAAGGAATTGTGGAAAACATGCGTAATTTCTGAGGTTTGGTCCAATTCTCACCTTCTTCTGACATCGGTGGACGGTTGCGTAGCTTCCGGAACCCAACTTTTCCAGCATGTCATAGTCCGTTATCTTGGGAGCAGCCATCCTCTCCTGGGCACGAAAATCACTCTGTTTTGCGAGCCACGAAAATCACAACAAAGCAATGTCAGCTGTTTGTCCCAGAAGTGTCCCAAATCGTCACACTTCAGCCATGACACCAACCATGCTGAGCAACTCAAGTGATTTGAAACGAAACAGGCGAAATTGCTCAGTTTAATAATGAATGAATCCTCTTCACATAATATAATTATAGAGAATAAATGAACAGAAGCAATTAATTTGCGTTATATCATAATTATTGAGGTGAATCTCAATTTTCATCTGCTCATATCCATTGCGGATTCTCAGTTTTTCCCTCGCATTCCCTCTGACAAAAAGGCCTGTCCAACGCACAGTCACGATGATGAAGTTCTCCAGATCAAGAATGCGAAGGGTGAGCGAAAAAGCGACGCAAGAGAGAAAGAGCTCACAGAACTAATGACGTCCAAAGATGATGGAAAACTTCTCTGGCTCTTTATCTTCTTCATTCCCTTTGAAACTTTCACTCAATTTTAATGACACGATAAAATCACTTTACTTCACGCCCACGCACAACTCATCTCCGCGCGCTGGCATTCCAAGAGCTCCTTCATCCCTCGGAAGTCGATACAGGGAAGATTTCTAATTACTGCCAGACATGCGAAGAAAAACTATACAGAGAGAAAGGATGCCGAAAGCGGCTGAATCACACCTTCTGTGAGTATTCAGATGTTGACATGGTCAGACAGGATCATGAATTGGAATGAAATGTAACACAAATTGATTGGAACGCCCAATACACAGTGTATTAAGTGAATGGGATTTTCAAACAATCATTCTGAATCAGTTGCAATCATATTTTGTGTGCAGTGTTTGGAATTTCTCAATTTCCAAATCTATCGGTGTATTGAATTCATGTTGTATTTTTCCTCTCCATTCTCGGAAAATACAGAGAAGAGCACGATTCCAATTCAGAGAGGCAAAACCCACTCAACTTTTTTACACGACCATTGATTTCCCACCGAAAACATCTCTTGCTCGTTGTCGTCATTTCCCTTCTGTGTCATCGCCGACAATCATGGTGAAAAGCCACAAAAGACAATTTATTACGGCAAAGAGAAAGCCCATGTGTGGGAAAGTTTTGCGAAAAATCTCACTCATGAATGAGGCTTCCGCCCGCACCACGCGGCAGGAACAGATATAATAGCTTCCGTATGCATAAACACTCTTCTTCATTTCCTTCCTCCTCACATGGTACAGCCGAGAAGGACTATAAATAGAATGCGAGAGTGAGTAAATATGGATGAGAGTGGAGGCGCCAAAGTGTCTTGCCAACGAGGAAGACGTTCAAAGCTCCATGATTCAGTCCGTGCGGATTCCAATGAGAATCTCTGTTTCTCCAAATCCAGGACATTCCAGACAACACGTGTGTTGACTTAACAGCTAAACTCCGACACGATAAATATATAATTAACTATGTAGTATTTGCCTATAGGAAGTGATGAGAGTATATAGTGCGATGCTATGGTTCGAATGTGCTGGTCTTGAGGAGGATTAGAGGAGGAATTAAGTCAAAAAATGAATATAACGATATTCAAAAGCAGAGACTATGTGGCATGTCACATCTTAGAGGAGTCATAAAATGTATTCTACATGCACAAACTTATACAGAATTCTTTTTATTATCAAGTGGAGTGACATTTCATACGATTGAGCACGCTTCAAGATCCCCAAATCTCATTCAATTTCACGATATATATCAACGTATGTATATATTACATTCGTCTAAAGTCATATTTTTTCTTTGACTTCTACAGCACTTGCAAGTGCGACAAGAACACTGGGAAAAGAGAATTCTATTTAGCGAGATTCTCACCGTTGCGCTGCCACAAATTGCTCCACGGCTCTGAGACATTTCCATCGCGAAACTTTCAAATTAATCTACTGTAATGGGAATTTCAGGAGCCACAATTAGGCATAGTGTGAAGTATTGTGAGTGTGTGATGTTTGATATCGCGGGATTGTTTATTTAACATGGTGTGTACACAAAATTTCTCGTGTTAATTTGCAGGTAAATTGCGTGATTTGAGAAGTATCTGACGCGATTATAAATGTTGAAGGAATCATCGTGGGAATGTGAAAATGTTTATGGAAATTTTCTCACACATTTCTTCAGCAAACATGCTACTTGAGTGAGGATTTTCCTTCGCGGCTCCGCTAAGCCATCATCCAATTTTAACTCAAGTATGTCCTCCAATTAGCATATTTGTGTGTACTTTTGGGGATGTGAGATTGTTTAGCTGGATTTGCACGGATTTCAATTATCAAGTGAGACTTGTCGGCAATTATTTAACAATTTAGTCGCATGTTGTGCGGCACAAGTGATACTGGCTTGGCAGTGAAACGGCATTTGGGCCTTGAGAAAATTGCCACGAATAATTCTTGTTGAGTGTCAATTGATTGGAATCAATGGTGAATCTCTTCGAGTGTCATTTTCACATCATCCACCCTCACTGATTTGCCGAAAAAAGAATCCTCACAAGTCCTGAGACAGAAGTTACAATGTTCTCAACATTTTCCTTTCATGGACAGTGGAGGCGCCTGGTGTACCATCACTTTCGCATCATTGAGCTTTTCGTGTCATCGATTTTTTTCTCCAACTCGCCACTTTATCTTCAAGCAATACAAAAGATACGGTAGGCATCCTGGGCTCCATGACAAGAGAATGTCCTCGAGTTGATACGATGGACCAGCTAGAAATGCTGAAGAAACTGAGGACGTGAAGGAGAATCAACAACCATTAAATGTGAATTTTTCTTTCCACCTTCTATCCACATGAAGGGCAGTTTTGTCACTCTGCAACTCCCTCAGGCAGTCCTTTCTCACATACAAATGGAATAAATTATACATCATCACAGAGTCCTATGACAAGAGAGAACTTTCAAGTGTCTTCGAGGCATTTGCAAGCTTTTCACTGAGTCAAATGAAAGCGCTTCCCTTTTGCATTTTATATCTCTCACCAAGGCAATTCTTATTCTCTCAGATGCATCTGACCTTGTCTCTTATAAATGCAAGAATATGTAATAGTGCTTAATGACATGAAATGTCCTTAATTAAAATACGACATCGCAGTGAGACAAGGAGTGAAATAATCATGCTTCGTAATTGGATTAAGGCGGTTTAAAATAGTTCTTTTTCACCGTATAGATATTTTTCAAATGTACAGTCAAATGAAACTGAGAATTGTCTGAAAATACTCTGAAGTGAGAAAAACAGGGCATTTTTTTTTAACAAACAGACAAAATCATGCTTGTTAGATTGAGAAAATCCCATGTGAATTCTGTGCTGTTATAGCATAAGATCAACGGAAGAAATCATAATAATCTGTCAATCAGTTCAAAAGTCTGTTTATTTACAGACAGCGGCACCGAAATATATGTGAATGAAGTGCATCTGCATTGAATAACACTCTCAGAGAGACAATGTTTTCTTTGGATGGAGGAAGTGTCGAAAGTGAGTCACTTCACATGAGATTGCAAAACACAAGAACCTCAAAATACACCCAAAAATCCATCTGAAATCCTGAAGTCATGCCATCAATTGCGCGAAGGTGATGGCGAAACAGCAAAATTAGCACGATTCAGTATGTTAATCGTGCCATTTTGTTTAAATATTTATGGTCATGATTTACAATAATATTGGATGTACAAATGTGTAACACAACCTTTAATAGTGTCTCGCTCATCGCATTCTGATGCCGTGTTTTTTCCTCGTCGTGGCGTCGTGATGGAGTGTGAGTGAGACGGTCACTATACTGACTTTGCATGCACTTTGGCAAGTTTCAAATTATGTCAATTGAAATTAGTCGCTCGACTGTCTCGACGACGTGCGTTTCAACTCCAAAGATGGTACACTGGCAATGCGGCGAACCGGTTAAATCTGTTGCCAGCCATCTCTGAACACCCAGGCCCATACCTGATCCCTCATCCCATGGCCAGTCGCACGCACGCCCAGTCTCGCGCCAGAGGTCCGAAGATTCGGTGCTCCTCAGAAGTGTCTTTCGCCGTGGAGTCAGCAGTGCTGATGAATCAATTACCAGACACTTAATCACACACTGTGACACTCGTGCTAACTAATGTCGAATAAATCATAAAATTGCATTCATAAATAGTTTATGTGAGCGAAACGTGTCTCAACGGAGGGGCGCGAAAACTCATTTGGACAATTTCATTTTGCCGAAGGTGCGTTCAATATAGTGCGAAATAAATTAGATTTTCTCCGCGTGTGCTTTATTAAATTGTGACATTATGAGTGTTCCGAATTAAATCACCATCAATTCCGCCAATATAGCTCGCGAGTTGCCAAACACTTTTGCCTTTAACTTCTGTGGCTGCAGTGTATTTAACGTTCTAGGAAAATACCGATAAATGATCAGTAAAGTGAGTATCATGTTCATCTATTAACACTTTTATGACATATAGGAAACTCATGAGTTTCCAAAAGCATCACACCAAGGCAATTCGGAGATATGCAAAGCGAAAACTTCTTCTACATAAACTTAGACATCACGCACGTTTACACCATCTCAATAAATTCTTCACATACGATCACCTTGCTAGAATATCGCATTCGGCACCGGTAGTAATTCGTGTTATGTGCAAAAGTGCTCTCAAATGATTTCTCATCCCACACAGAGAAATTGATTTCATACCATCATACACTCCGAGCAATGTGTTGCAAAATCAGAGTGCTAACAGATAAGAATAGAAAATTTCAACACTTCAAGTGCCATAAATGTACCAGCATGAGAATTAGCCCAGTGAAACATTTATTGCCTCGCTCGCGAAACCATTCATCACGGCTCTTTGAAAAGAACTTTCAAGTCGGAAAGCCAATTGAGATGCAATCGTGAATTTTCTGCTAAATCACCCATTAGGCCATGTGTATGTTTTATCACCTGATATTCCCAGTATCTGCAATATCTCAATCATCAAATATTGCTCATAATTGGAAAATTGTTTAGAAATGCTACATGAAATTTGTACGATTTATCTTTTACGATGTTGATTCATCTGGATTTCTCC